TTTAGGGATCTGAAGATGTGGACCTTTAAAATTTGATTAAACGACTACAATTATTATAATTTTTAGATAGACCTTCTGTTTGTAGCCATTGGATCAAATTTTAATGGCCCGGATCTCCGAATCCCTAAAATTTGGTGGAAGAGATCCCCGAAGATCTCTTCCCGACCAGTTCAACTTAACTATATGCATGTTTGAGAGATTAATTATTTGATTGATTAATATTTATTATGATTAAGAAAGAAAATGAAAAGAAAAAAAAAACTCGTTGGCATTGGCTTATTGGGAAGAAAAAACAAGGTATGTCAAAGTCATAGATTGAGATCCTTCCGAATTTTTGCGTTAACAATGCGCCTAGAGATTAATTATGTATTATGATTAAGAAAGAAAATGAAAAGAAACTCTTTGGTATTGGCTTATTGGGAAGAAAAAAAAAGGTATGTCTAAGTTATGGATTGAGATATTTCCGAATTTTTGTGTTAATAGTGCGCCTTATACAAATTCAAAAATTTGAAAAGCCCGTACTCTCTCTCTTGAACTGTTCGAATCTCTTGGTCTACGAATTTCAGACACAGAGATTAAGAGTCAATCAAAATCCCAAAATTATAGTGAACATGAGAATCAAAGTACAAACATAAAAAATAAAAATAAAATAAAAAAAAGTCGAGAAGAATAAAAAAGTGTGCGCATCACGATCAACATTCAACAAGGAGTGATTATGTCTAGTAGATTAAGAATTTGTCCAATCTCAAAGTGGTCGTGACTCGTGAGGCACTCAAGTAACCTTCGGAAAAGGGAATTGGGTCCTCGTCTGAAGCAACATGCAAATATGTCATCTAATTTAAAGGCAGGAGATTACCCTTTTGTAATTTGCAATCTTGTAGGTTAGTCGGTGGAGCATATATTTACTTTGCGCAAAAGGACGATACAGGAATTAAGCAAAGCAAGGCCGAAAGCCTTTTAAAAGGACCAACCCCGCCCTGCCTTGCCTGGTGCGGGGTACTGCTGGGAGGTGGGATGAGATCAGCATTATCTTAAATCACAATTTATAATAATAATTAAGAAAATAAGACAGTGACATATCAAATAAAATAATGATTAATCAAATTAACTAAGTGGCAATTATAAACTCTTAATTTACATGATTATTCAATTCAACATGCAGCCATATGCTTTGAATTTGATGCCTTGAACGTGAAGGTTGAATCCTTCAAGGTTGGATTGGATGGATGGATGGATAAGTGCCGCCCACCGGATCCGAGGTGGGTCCAGACTCCCGCAGCGTTTCAAAACACAATTGAATTGAGATTTGAAATATCAAATTTTCTTGGGGAAGTCTCAAAACATCACAATTCCGTAATTTAATTTAAGATCGAGTCAAGGGAGAATAGCGCGAAAATAAATCAAATTGCTAATTTTTCATTTGGCGGATTGCGTAAGGAGTTTGAACAATGATTCATCTCTAATTCTTAATTCGAATCATCAGCGGAGAAGACTGTCGACTTGACTCCTCCCGCTGGTGGTGAGAGTGGCGGAAAAAGGAAAATAAAAACTGGATATGGAGGCGGAGGAGCCATCGAGTGACTGACCTTACGTTGCAGGTGATGATAATGATTTGTTAAATGATGATGGAGGAGGAGGAGGAGGAGGAGGAGGAGGAGGAGGCGGAGCCCTAGGGTTACCATTGGTGGTGGGACGGCGGGTGAGAGCTCTGTTCACCACACTGCCACTCGTGTCCCTACTGAAAACTTCGGCTGTTACACTCAAAAACGTTAATTCTTTGAGGTTTGAACTCAAGGTTGCCAGAAAACCCAAAATCACTGCTTCTTCAGGTGACCAACTTGATGAATCTGAACCCCAAGGAGCTGCTACATACCCAACTGAATGCAACAAAGGTGCCTTAAAAACCTACCTATAATTGTGAGTGAGGTGCTTAAAAAAAAAGAACCCATGAAAAAAAGCTGTGAGGGTTTTAGGTGTTTGGTAAACTGAAAAAAAAAAGCTTATTTTGGAAGCTGCTGTGAGAATAAGCTAAAATCAAAGGAAAAAGCTGAAGCTGCTATTTGTAGCTTTGGATAACTGGTTTTTTTTCAAAGCACACAGAGCTATAGTGCTCCTTTAATGAAAAAACCCACTATCAGATTGCTTTTTTTTCCAAAAGCACTTTTACAAAAAAGTTTACCAAACACTCTGCTGATTTATTTCACAGCCGCTTATTCTCCCAGCACAACCACTTATTCTCACAGCAGCTTTTTTTCAAAGCACAGCAATACCAAACCAGCCCTAACTTGCAAGCCTTCTCTCTATTTTTCTTTCGTTTTGCATAAATTCGATGGTGTGTAAAAGTGTTTGTATTTTTGACTTTACAAAAAGCATAATCTCCACCATTGATATTAACTTCGTACAAAGTCAGCTAAACACACTTATTTTGTACACATTTTATCAACACAAATAATTACAGGTGACAAATCAAAGAAAAAAGACATATTGTGTGCTACAAGTTAACAATCGAATAGCAATATCTGCATTACAAACGACGGCCTAACTTGTTATCATTAATCTTCAACACTTCACATGACAGTGTGTTAACCAAACATCAGCCTCTCAAACTAAAAGATATCCCGAAACAAACTTTACATGAATATATAGAATAATCCACAAGCTCCAAAGAGTAGATTTTTCAAGAAAGGGTAAACTAGCGAATGTTATTGCATAAAACAACCCCAAATGAGCTGGTCATTTCCCCCTCCCCCTCTTCCCCCATAAAAGCTCACTGCATATGTTATGACACAGCTCATTATCTATCCAAATCAGAAAATCAGGCAGCAATCTTGTGGAGTCCTAACTTTACTCTATAACCCTTAGCAGTTTTGCAAAACCATCCTCACCCTGTTTTCTGCCTCCTCTCGAAGACTAGACATAGGCTCACAAGTTTCATAAACTAAAATCTATATCCATAAGTAAAATCACATAACTAGCACTGTCAGAGTTTGAATGATCTCCACTGAATATGATGTTTTCATTATTGGAAGTTATATCCTTCTGATATGCCAATCACAAAAGCATATCAAGAGACATACTTTCTTACTATACGACCGCTAATATATAAATGTTCAATTCTAGTTTGACAACCATCACCAATTCAAGGCTATCATGAACGAGCAAAAGACATAAATGATCATGCTCCCGAACTTGTATACTACATTGCTGACTAAATGCGAAGTAAAGGGAAGGGAAAGGGATGGGGGGGTTTAGAGTTCCAACCCCTAAAAGATCACCAGTGCATACAATGGTTCACAAGAAGTGCAAACCGGAGTATTTCTAATCAACAATCAAATAAAAGTAAGACAGTTCTGGAAACAACATGCTAAGCTTCACCCAATACAGTATAAGTTCCCATGCTTCTAAATCATAGAGCTAACATCTTGTTAATTGGAACGAATCACAAAGAAAATCAACTTGTTCAGAGCTAAAACTGCATCATAATCAACTACTTTGTATAGCATCAGATCAGCAAAAGCAGCATTTTATTCAGTTGTATGACATTTCAACACACACTTAAACGACAGCATTGACATCGAATCCAAAAACCGCAACTTTAGATTTCAGATCAAGTATCACATGAATGAATTCAGCACAAAAAGGACAATCTGATTATTAGAGAGAGACCCTAGAAATGTGGACACTGAATTTGCATTTTCATTTCTTGTAACGAGCTACCTCATCGTCGTTGGGGAAAAAGCCCATGAGGCGTCCCGCCGAGTTCTGATAAGCGTACATGAATCCGCCCATTACCCCAATCAGACCTCCGGTCACCATTGACGGCCCTCTAATCCCCGGCTTAATCCCTGTCAAATTCACATAAATTAGAATTCATCAATCAAGATTACTGCTTTAACTGAAGACAACGTGAAAATCGGAGGGGATGCGGATACCGGAGAGGTAGCCGACGGTGACGGATACGCCGGTGATGGTGGCGAAGCGGAAGTAGTCGAGGATGCTGAAGTTGCCGACGACGGTGGTGAATGGAGGGTTCCGATCTATGACCGGGTACTCGGGCTTCGTCGACGCTGTGATGTCTGTGTTCATCTTTGTTCTCTCCTTCCACTTCTACTTCGAAAACGACGCCGTGACACCTTTCAGGCTCTGGTTTTGTTGAGCTCAGCAGTTAAGCCTTCTCGTCTCGCCCACTGGACGCGGTCACGCAGACGACGACTCCATTTGGTATTGTGTGGGCGTGGGTCTGTCTTCTTCATTGCCTTTTGGGCCATCAAAAGTACTTTTATTCAAAATGGGCTTTTTTGAAAGCCCAAATTTAAATTGTGTAACATTTTGCGACACTTTCACGAAAAGAAAATGATGATAGTCAATATTTTACCCTTGATGAGTTGTCAATAACAAAAGTGATTTTACATTATAAGTTAGGCATAATTGTAAGACTTGTTTTTTAAAACTTGTGAATGTTTGAAATATAAATCTGTGTGTATGAATAAGCGGAAAAAAATTTGAGATTATTAAAATCTTTTAAAAAATTTAACGATGAAAATCCGAGTTCAGTTTGTGAAAATAATAGCGTTGTGGAGCGTCTCGTTCTGTTTGGCGAAGAACTTGTCGGGGGTAATCGAAAAGGTGTGTGGATGCTGGAGAAGAAAGGGTTGGCACATTTTTTGATAAATATTTTTTTTTTATTTAATATTTGTTATGTCACCATTTAACGATTAATTTAACAAATTATATAACTAACGTATGACATTAAAATAAAAAATAAATGTATGAGCTTAAAACGTTTTAAAGAAGTTGTATGAGTTTGCAATTGCATCCAGATTTAAGCGTTTAAACTGTAATTATGGTTTTAAAAAATAAGAGACATTTGATATTCTTTAGTTAGGTCAAATAAAATATAATATATAAAGTATTCTCTAATGAGCAGCCGTGGATTATCCTTCGATCACTGAGTTTTATTTATTTATTTATATATAAATAAAAAAATACATTTACGTTTTTAACATCAATTTTACAAGTTTCCCAGCTCATGACCGACCAAGCAAATCACCGCCTGTGAGCCTTCGACCCACACTTCTTCTTCCTGTTCTCTGCCATTTCCAAACCTCCGAAAAAACCCCAACTTTCAGAAACCTGATTAAATTCTTGGCTCATCGAATAAAGCCGCGGTCTCAATTTTCGGCTTCGGAGCGATGTCAGAGAAGTTCTCGGCGACGCTTCGAATCGGAGATCTCAACGATTTCATTGCACCGTCCCAGGGATGCATAGTCTCAGGCCTCAAAGCCTCCTCAACCAAGCCCTCTGCCAAGCCTGAGGTAAATTTCTCTTCTTTTTTACTTTTCCGGTAAATAAAGAAGTAAAAATTGCTCCTTTACTGATTGTTTTATCTGATTGCCTAATTGGAGCTGAATTAGTAATGTTTAAGCTTGTTGGTAAATTTCTCTTGGCAAAGGTTTCAACTTCTGGCAAGCAAGTGAAAACAGAACCGGTTAAAATTTCACTCAAAGATTGCTTAGCATGCAGGTAATTCATATTTCTTACTTCATACATATGCTTATTGGGTTTATTTATTGGTGATGCTATCAAGTTTAAGTTTTAATCTTTTATTTAAACTTCACTTATTGATTTGCATAGCTTAATTGCCATGTTACTTATTGTTGCTATTTCAAATTGGTGTGTCGACTTTTTACTATCATTATATTTGTGTAATGATATTTACCATTTCAAAATTTCCAGTCGAAAATTGTCAGGGTGCGTAGAATCTATATATTGCTATATTGTGCAAGGCTAGGTACTGTGAAGATAGAATAGCCGGCTTAAACTTTCCAAACTACCAGCTAGATCAACCGACTTAGAATTCCTTTTGCCGTGCAAAAAGGTATCATAACTATGGTTTTATGGACGTTGCAGTGGTTGCGTAACTTCAGCGGAGACAGTTATGTTGGAGAAGCAAAGTTTGGATGAGTTTCTTCTCAATATTGACAAAGGAAAAGCTGTCATTGTCTCCCTATCTCCCCAATCAAGAGCTTCACTTGCCGTTTATTTTGAAATTTCTCCGCTTCAGGTTAGCTATAGCATTTGAACTCGTTTCGTTTCACCCTACTTTTAATTGTTTGACTTCAGTTCAACTTTCTGTACAATCTCAATAACTGTTCACTATTACTATACGCAATAAGTTAGTCGAGCACACTTGTTGGCATTGGATTTTAACATCTGGAGTTTATTTCAAATTTGGCAGGTTTTTAGGAAACTCACAACATTTTTTAAGTCCTTGGGTGTAAAGGCTATATTTGACACAAGTACCAGTAGGGATTTAACTCTTGTTGAATCTTGTAACGAGTTCATCTCAAGGTACAAACAAAGCCAGTTATCTGATGATGAAGGGCATCAATCTTCCTTGCCTATGATTTCATCAGCATGCCCAGGTATATATATATCTTAGCCTATAATATTTCGGTATTAGCATCATTCTCTTTTCTGCTAACGCTCCCTCAATAAATTTAACTAATTTGCAGCAGGCTTTTTAATTGGTTAAAGATAATAGTTGAATAGCGCATTGACATTTTGGCCTTAAGTGTTAATGAAATTTGGCAAATTGTTTCTATGATGCACTATAAAATAGCTCTGTTATTGCAGGTTGGATATGCTATGCCGAAAAACAACTTGGATCCTATGTTCTGCCTTATATTTCATCAGTGAAGAGTCCCCAGCAAACAATTGGAGTTATTGTTAAAAATCATGTATGCCAAAAAATGGGTCTTAGGTATGTTTTCTGTCCTTTGTTTCCTTTTTTGGTCGATAAGTGTGATGTGAATCATTACTTCTGTACACTTGTGGCGATTAACTATTCATAACATTTTTAATAATTGATGCTCGATAATATGTATGTATAATTTGAGAAGTTTTGGCTTTGACATAGCTTGCTTTGTTGGACCATTCTATATCAGTGATGAAATTCTTTTGTGTAATTTGTTGTTATTCATGTCAAAATATTTTTGTTCCTCCCTCTTTCTTCTTTCTAAGTTTATTCTGTATCATTTGATAGCCTATCAGTCGGGAAGATGTAAATCCTCTTTTACTTGGAAGCTTATTTAGTACAGCTGAAATTGAGAAATTTCTACAAGATCCGAGCATATATTATCACCATTAAATGTTTATGACAACTAGATGTTCTTGGATCATAGGCAGACTTGTTAACAGGTTCAGTCCACCTCGTCTGATTTTTGTGCTGCCTTTGGCTTATTCAGTGTTGAAAATTTGAAGTAGATAATTTTCTATGGGTGAAATTGAATGATTATACTGAAGTATTTACATATCCCTGAATGATTTTATTCGACAGGCCAGCTGATGTTTACCATGTAACTGTGATGCCTTGTTATGATAAAAAGCTTGAGGCTTCACGTGATGACTTCGTTTTTGAAGTCGATCAATCCGAAAATAATGAGAATGAAGGTCTTAGGGTTCCAGAGGTAGATTCGGTGTTGACATCCGGGGAAGTTTTAGACCTGATACAGGTGAGAAATACTTATTACCATCTCCACTTTAGTGGTTACCACTCTGAGCTTTCCAAATAGTGCTGACTTATATTCACTATTTGTTTTCTTTCTTCCTTTTGGTGGTTGCAGTTGAAGGGAGTAGATTTCAAGGGCTTAGAAGAGTCTCCACTAGATAACATGTAAGAGCTGTAAAAGTTTCAATAAGGCTCCTTCCATCTGCTTTGATTATTCTAACAAACATGTTCTGCTAGGTTGACAAATTTTAATGAAGGGCATCTTTTTGGGGTCCATGGAAGCTCAGGGGGTTATGCGGAGACAATTTTCATTTATGCTGCTAAAGTGCTCTTTGGAAGAGAAATCAAGGGCCCTATTGATTTCAAAACAGTTAAAAATTCAGACTTCCAAGAAGTGACTTTGGAAGTGAGTCAAGTTCTTCTTATAGTTTTGAAGGATTGTAATGTAGCTTTTTTGTAATTGTAACTCAAGCTTTGTCACTTTGCATCCCTATAGGCTGTAGTACTTGTAGAGCATATAGTTGGAAAAATCTAGGGGCTAATTCCTTGTTTTAGCATTTTCTGTTCATTTTTATGTAGAGTATTGATGCCCTCTCATTTAGGTGGACGGGAAGACTCTGTTGAAATTTGCACTCTGTTATGGCTTCCGTAACCTGCAAAATGTTGTCAGGAAAATCAAAATTGGAAAATGCGATTATCATTTTCTAGAGATCATGGCATGCCCTTCAGGTATTTATTGGTGGTTGTAAATTTTTCTACTCATTAATTCTTCAAATAAATATGTGGTTTAACATGTTGAATTATCCATTATGGGGATTCGGGATTTTGGAAGTAATACTAACCTGAATTAAACAGGTTGCTTGAATGGTGGAGGACAGATTAAGCCACAGCCCGGACAATCCCCAAAGGAGTTGATTCAGTTATTACAAGCAGCTTATATGGAAAATGTAAGTGCTGAACTTATCGTTAGTTATATTTATCGTTGGCCTGGGAATAGTGATGTTGTTTTGGCTTTGAATGGTAATCCTTTAATTTTGTACAGGTCTTGGTTGCTGATCCTTTTGGAAATCCTTTGGTGCAAAACTTGTACGATGAGTGGCTTGAGCATCCTGGCTCAGAGAAAGCTAAGCGACTCTTTCACACAGAGTACCACCCTATCGTGAAAAGTCTAACTTCTCAGTTGCACAATTGGTAAATGCCACCTTCCAAACTCCAGTTTTCTCAACAACATGCGGACATCCCGTGACGGTCCATCTGAGTACCGAGGCTTGTCATCTTCTGGGAGTCGTCAAATTTTTGATATAGAGAACTAATATTTTGTTCAGAGTTTTTTCCAAACTGATTTGTATAGTAAAATGACCTTAATAGAAAAAGAATCAATTACACGCGGTTGTAAAAACCATATAGATCTTGCTTTCTATTGTATATTGTTTTTGGTACACAAATCTTGCATTCTATTGTGTATCCATTTTTGTTTCAATCGTGCTCGATTGGGAGAGTTTCTGCATAATTTTTTTCTTTTTGCACACACACCTCTCTTTTTGTACGCCCTGTTTATTTTCGTAGTTGTTTTGTTCAAAAGAGAAAATGGATGTACGGAAAGCACTTTCGTGAGTTTCTTCTGCCATTTTGAGATCATGTAATCAATTGTATGTACGAGCGTGTGATATACGTCAAACTCGAAGCTCAGAAAATATAATGTGATATACGACGCATGAATAAGAATACGCACTACGCATCGCAGAAGCGTAGTTAGTAGTATTCATAATATAGCAAGCTATCTAATAGTAATACTACATTGATACTGGAATACTGGAAGAAGTATAAGTTGGTTTACAGATGAAGAGAAGTATCTACATCAGAGTCAGAATTAGGATCCGAGTCTTCAAATGTGTTTGGACAAGTTTTTAACGAGGTGGTGTCTCTGAAAGTTGGCCATAAGTTGATCAAAAGCGGTGTCTCAGTCTTCCCATGAGGACAGTCCTCATGCTTGCTCTGCAACGTTGGCCACAGGGAAAGGGAAGCTCCGGATGCCGACGTTCCACAACCGTGGACAAGATGATCAAGGTGGAAAAACAACCTTGCCCTTGTCGGCTCGTTATGCATGGAGGGATTTCTATTCATCACCGTGAACTGCTTTGGTTCGGAGTCGGAGGATAGAGCTAGCATTCTCGAAATCTCTCTCTCCTCTCTCATTGCCTTCACTCTCTGCAGCTCTCTAAACCTTTCCTGCAGTAGAGCTATGGAGGAATGAACGACAGTCGTTTCGGGGTTTTCTCTATCCATTTTATCAGAAAAGAGATGCACTTAGCCTCAAAATTAGGGTTGTGGGAAGTTGCCTCTAAGCTTGCATGTGTGTGTATATATAGGATTTTGGGGATAGTGACATGCATGATGCATGCATGTTTTATAAGATTGTGTGCTCCAGTTAATTAATCTAGTAAGTGGATTTAGTTGCTGTATTTTTAAAGTAATTTCAGTAGGGAATGAGAATCGGCAGCCAAGCAGCAAAGTCCAAAAAGAAAAGGGTTGTGTGGCCAAATCTAAGGGAGTTTGTTTGTTTACTTTATCTAGTGTATGTGGGGGAAGAGGCAAAGGCATTGCTAAAGGAGAAAAGGGTTCGGAGAAAATTCCAAAGAGAATGTAACTTTAGAAACAAGCACATGGAAGGGAGTGTTTGGAGGAATAATAGGTTGGATGATACTCTGTCAACTAAAAGTCCTTTCGAGCTTTGAAGACGATGGAGCTTTTTATTAATGTTTTGGTGGCTCTTTGTTCTTTCTTTACATTATCAGTTCATTTTCATATATATTATTCCGTAATTAAAGATCATTTTTTCTTGTACATAAATCACAGTGTGTACATAAATTTTTATTTTGTTGGTTTTAATTGATTATGTCATATTATGTTAAACTGTAATTTGCAAGTACAGATGAATTATCACATTCATGTAAAGAGTCACATATTTTTTATGTATATTTTTCACGTATAATTTGTGTGTAGAGAAGAAAGAAAAAGAATGTGGGGGCGGTGTGGACAATAATATATGACAAAGACAAACAGACCAACATTCTTCTCTCGATGTATGTTTTGTCTTGGAGTATTTGGAATGGAATGGCATGCAGAAACGAAAGCTGCGGCTGCTCAAGGAGGTGGACTGGATATGGATTGGATGCTTCTTTTATGCAGCACAAAAGGTCCCCTAGCTATAGCACCCTCTATTATTTATTTTCAAATTTCGAAGCTCCAAACTCCAAGTCTCCAAAAGATTCCTAAGATGATGAAAAATAAACAATTATCTAGACAACGCGTGCAACTAAGTTTCTATACTCTATACTTATCCATTGCATTGTGTTTGGGTAAATGCGCATACAAATAAGGTGTTGCAAGCAAAATATGTGACTCGGATTAAACTATAGGTAAGCACCAATCCGAGGGAGGTTGTGCAACATTTGTAATGTTGACAATATAAGGAGCAAAACACTTTTTTTTGTGGGGGGGGGGGGGGGGTAAAAAACAATATAAGGATCATAACTAAAAATGTAGATTTGAATCTGGTTTTGAGGGCCAAGTAAATTGCTGGTGTAAAAGTTAACTCGATACAAATTCCAGATAAAATAAGTATCATAATCGAAGATATGAATATATGTGGTTCACTCCTAATTATACCGCCCAAGGTATTGGGTCTTCGGCATTTTAGTTATCTCACAATGACAATTGCAAATTAATGAAACAAAAAGTTGAAATTTTTTTAAAGGGCATATTTCTTCCTGATGATAGGCTTTGATAGCTGGATGGAATGAGTTCACATACGCCGTCCATTGCCAAGTGCTGTATATATGATATTTATATGCATGCCAAGTTCACATATGTAGTCACGATGCTCCTGCTCATAAGGGATGGACACACTTCACTTCCATGAGTGATGTTTAATTGTGGATTATATTTCACCGAAATTGAACAAAATTTATGGTGCATGCATGCATGCATTGCTAACACACTTGGCATCAAGATAATCGATGAGTCGATATTATACTATATATTTTACTCAAATCTTAGTTATAGTTTATTAGTTATTTTGGTAGAATTTTGATACTTTGTTATATATTTTCAATGTAGGACATTCGACTTTCTCTAGAGAAAAAAGTAACCAAACGGATGAATTTTAGAGTCATTACAATTGGAGGATATTCGTAAGTCTTTCAAGATGATTGTATCAAAATTCCAGATTTTTCTACCAAGTCATTTGACCGTGCCAATGAAATAAAGGACGAGCGCGCAGCTTTTCCAGATTGACATTTTTGGACGTTTTGGGTATTTTGAAGGTTAAGATGACATATTTTGAGGAATATTCCTTCTGAGGATTTGTAAGGGACGTCTTCAGCTTTAAAAATAACATTTTGGGACCAAATTGGAGTTGATTTGTTTGGTCAAAAGACTAATTTTCTAAGAACTCCGAATTTTAGTTCAAATAAGAAACCTTTTATTTTATGTTTTATTATTTTATTATGTTTCCTAGTATTATTCTAAGACCTTTTCTATGAGGATTTTATTTTGTAGTAGTATAAATAAGGCTTTTTAGCCATTAGGGATAAGGGAGGAGAAGAACACATAATATTTTGGAGAACTTTGCTAGGCTTTGACGATTCAAGTTTATTTTCAAGGTGTTTCTATCCATATTCTTAATAATATTTTGTTTATGATTGTTAGTAACTAGTTTCGTTTGCTAGGGCGAGGCCACGAGCCTTAGCAAGAATATGTAGCTTCTTTTCAATTTGCTTATGATATTATGCATGCAAGTTTTGAATTATTAATCATAGTGTTAAAACTATCTAATTATCTTGATGATTGGCCATTATTAGGATATTTAGAAAAGTAATTTAATGCAATTTTGGCGGAGGACCGTCCCTGGAATTGGCGTTGGCTTCTTGTGGTTAATTAATATGTGTAACTTCTTAGGATGACGACACGTCTTAAGGGTTATATGGTTTTTCAAAAAAATTTCACAAAACTTAATGAGTCTTACATGTTCATATTTGATCTGGACGCCACGAACGGGTTGCATGTTAGATATAGGAACCCTAGTGCTCAAATTTATTTGCAAAACTATTTTCTTTTGGTTTTCTTTACTCTCTCAATTTATTTAATTATTTTTGATTAAATTCGTTTTTAATATTCTAGGTCGTTAAATCACCTTTTTCTAAATTTTGTTTTCAAATAATGAATTAAGATTTGGTTTTAACATAAATTATTCATTTAATCACTGCGAAAAACGACATTGCTTGAGCTGTTATACTTGTACTCTTGCAAGTATTTTTAAGTGTTTTTATTTCTACTTTTACAAGTGGTAAAAATCCCTATAAATAAATAAATATTTCTGTTTATCCCAAATCGTCTACATGCATGATTACATCAGAACAAGTACGAGTTCGTTTACTACAGATGAAGGGAAGTATCCAAATCACTGACAGCAGAGTCACAATTGGAATCTTCGAATTGATTCGAACTACTAGTAAGTAGTACTGTCTAACGAATTAGGATTTTCTGCTGTGACCGAGGGCCATAAGTTGATCAACAGCGGAGTCTCATTAATTAATGCTCCTAGATATATGTAGTAGTCCTAACTCCTCAGGCTTGCTCTTCAGTGATGGCCACAAGATTGCTACTAGTTGAATATCAGAGTACGCAACGAATAAGATTAACAAAATAATAAGAATATTATTAAACAAACTAGAATACCGGAACGGCTACAAAACCTTAAAGGCTACATTGTGAATGACTTGATTCTCAAACTAAATTACAAGTTTTATTTATAGAGCAATAAACCTAATAAACCCTAATGCGTAAATGGCAAAAATACCCTACTACAAAATCAAATCAAATCAAATCTCTAATTAATTTCCTAAATAAACCTAATAAATTCCAACACTAATGATGACCGATGATCATCATGAGGAAGGGCAAGATGATGATGATCAGGGTGGTGGTGGTGGAAGAACAACCTTGCCCTTGCCGGCTCGTAATGCCTGGTGGCAGGATTGCTAGCGCCATCGATCATCATCAACTGCTTATTATGCTTTGGTTCAGCTAGCATTCTCAATCTCTCTCGCTCCTCCCTCATTGTCTTCACTCTCTGAAGCTCTCTAAACCTTTCCTGCAATACAGCAATGGGGGAGGAATGAATGGCGGCTTTGGCACATGGCTTTCCCTCTCCATTATTTTCACAGTCAAGAGGCTTCGTGTTCGTGTATGTATAGGACAGTGACAATATATATGTATGTATCAGATGTCTGCTTCATCAGTTATAAGTAGTTTTTATTAAGGATAATACTTGCAAGTATATATCCTTTAATTAATAAGTGAAGTTATGAGCGGGCTCGAGTCGTTCGATGAAATTGCAAGTGATTTGAAAAGAAATGAGAATCGGCAGAGGGTTGTGTGACCAAATCTAAGGGAGTTGGTTTGTTTGTGGCGGGTTTAGTTTAATTAGTGTATGTGGAGGGAGAGACAGAGAGGCATCTGCATTGCTAAAGAAGAAAAGTCCAAGTGAGGATGTTCAAACTAGCAAATGGAAGGGTGTGTTTGGACTTTGGATGAATAATTTGCTTTTCTTTTGTTCTTTTGTTCAACCTCCCCTCTGGTGAGCATGGCATAGAATCATGGATAGCCATTGGACCATTTTCTATGTCTCCACTCACTAAATTTTTGGGAAGAATGTGGGCGGTGTGAACAATAATGTATGACAAAGACAAATACACCAAGATATTTAACATCTCTCTCTCTCTCTCTCTCTCTCTCTCTCTCTCTCTCTCTTATATATATATCTCTGTGTGTGTGTGTGTCAAAATATATATGTTGTTTTATGTCAATGTCAAAATATATATGAGGATGTAATCAGTGGCAGCTCCTGGATTCTAATCTCGGGTGGTCCTAGTCAAGGGATGTTGGGCTCTAATTCGGAGGCAGGTTGGGGCACCTATGTGCCTAGACAGGGTCTAGGCAAAGACTTAGGTGGACTAGGTAGATTTAAGTAAACTTACTATATATCATATGAATAAGTACCTATTTACACTTACACAAAAATATACTTGTATTGAGAATTTGTGGTTTATTATTTTAATTAGGTTTATTGTTAAACATATAACATACAACAATATCAAAAAATTTGCTTTAGTATTTTAGTGAATTTGATGGTATGAGATGAAAGTACAAGCAACTACGAGTTTGTAGTACTTTACGAAAACTTTTCAGAGGTCGTATGAATTTATAGGTAATTCTTTAAAAGTAACGGTGTCATCTAAAAATAGGCAAAAGACTGTTTACTACCCTCAAGTTTCATGGTTTTCAACATTTAGTACATCAATTTTTTTTCATCCCAGAGTCATACCTAAAGTGTTAATTTTGGGACAGTCTCATACATCCGTTAGTCAAACTGTTAAGTCTTCTGTTAACTGATGATATGGCGCCCACGTGGACAATGACTAGACGCCACATGTCATTAAAAATATTAAAATATTAAAAAAAAAAAAAAAAACTAGAATCCCCTTCCTTCTTCCCTGCAACCCGCACCATCCCCCAGGTTTTTTTTTTTCCTCTCTCTGTTCTTCTTCTTCTTCTTCTTCCTTTCTTCCTCCCCCAACCCTCCCTTCCTTCTTCCCTGCAACCCGCACCCTCCCCCAGCCTTCCTTCACCACCAGTCTCCCCTAACCTTCCCCCACCTTCCTTCTTCCCTCTGTAATTTCTTCCCCATCCCTTTCTCTCTTTGAAAAAATAAAAATTGAAAAGCAAAACACAAACCCTACTGACTCAAATTGGAAATGAATACACAATTGGGGGGAAGTGAAGGGAGGGGGAGCATACCTCGGCACGTGTGAGAATGAAAGCAAGGTAGTTATTGAGAGTTCAGGGCTTCCTCCGAATGCGAAATCTGCTGCTCCAGCAGCCCTGAGCTCTCATCTCCTCCCAAATATGCACAGCCCCATCAACATCTCCGGCATTCGAAAGCCAATGCATCAGAGAAGTGTAAGTAATGTCATCAATCTTGATCCCCTTTTCCTGCATTTGCTTGAAAACATGGGTCATTGACGAAACCCTCCCGGCTTCTCCGAAAATGTCCAACATTGTCGTGTAGGTGAACTGGTCGTGTTTAAACCCTTTAAACCCAGCAACCCAGTTGAAAAAAAAGCCACGATTTTTCCATCGGAGGGTGGGTTTTGAGCACCTGGCTCACAGTGTAAGAGTCCCATCTTATTGGAAGGTTCTACAATTGTTCTTTGGCGGAATCCCATGTCGAATATTTGAGGATTTTGTATATGTTTGTGATTGTTTCTCGCATGGAAGTCTTCGGGTCTAAAGGTTGTTGCTTTGAAGTGGATTTGGGATGGTTTTTTGTGTTCTTTCTGGGAATTCGATTGTTGGGTTTGTGGGGTTTGAGGAAATGGATGGATTTAGGGAGGGTGCAGGTTGCAGGAAAGAATGAAGGGAGGGTTGGGGGAGGATGAAAGGAAGAAGAAGAAGAGAGAGAGAGAGGAAGAAAAAAAAAGCTGGGGAAGGGTGCGGGTTGTAGGGAAGAAGAAGGGGATTCAGGGTTTTTTTTTTTTTTTTTTAATATTTTTTAATATTTTTAATGACACGTGACGCCCAGTCATTGTCCATGTGGGCGCCATGTCATCAGTTAACAGAAGACTTAACAGTTTGACTAACGGATGTATGAGATTGTCCCAAAATTTACACTTTAGGTATGACTCTGGGATGAAAAAAACTTGATATACCAAATGTTGAAAACCACGAAACATGAGAGTAGTAAACAGTCTTTTGCCCTATAAAAATATTGGTTGAGTAATATATCATCCGTTTGCTAATTAAATGCTAGGGTTTCACAACCTGATTGGACAACAATTAAAAAACAAAATGAGAGTTGGTCAAGTGGGAAATGGAGAGAAAAAGTCTTTCTTCTTTGTTGTAACTAAGGTCCAAGAACAACAAAGTTGCGGTGCTCTTTTCTCTTCCATCACATGCCCGCACCATTGGGTGGTCCTCAGAAGTTCTCATAGGCGCTTCTTTGGACGTCGGGATGGTACCGGAACCCCCCGGATTCAAGAGTGAATCCGCCCTTGGATGTATATATGTTTTGTTTTGGAGTCATTGGAATGGAATGGCATGCAGAAAAGAGAAAGCTGCGGACACGAGGAAGTAGTGGATTATTGGATGCTTCTTTATATTATGCAGCAGCACACAAGGAGAAAGTGATCATTAATTTTCATATTTCCTACTAGCATGAATGAGTGGCGAGATATTTAGTGATTATTCGGATTCTTGACTTACTATTTATGAATTTTAGAATTACTTTGATTAGAATTTGATTGAACGAAGAAAAATCATGAATCGTAATAGTCTTCAAGGGCCAAGTGTGTCTCTCAAATGAGCCCAAGAGTTTTTTTTGTCTAATAACCCAAGGGTATTGGACTAACATATACTTTCAATAATTTATAAATTCTAAATTAATAAGTTAGTTGCATGAAGTTAGGAATAATATCAATGATGTTGATGGTGATTGGTGAGTCATGATGTGCCAAAAAAGTTCATCATCCATTCCCATTGCTTCTTTTTCCTTTCTTTGTCTCTATACTTTCCTCAAATCTCAAACACAAAAAATTAAAGCTAAAATAAAAAACGAAATGATTATCAATAAGTCACTAGGTTTGGGGTTTTGTGATGAGGAGGAGAGCAAATGTTAGCAGCCCCATATCACAAAAACCCATTTTGAACAAAAGAATTCATTTTCAAATAAAGTCGTAATTTTGATTAAGATTGTTATTGACACTCTAAAAGTCTAATTGTCTGCTTCAAAATTTCTATATCTAAAAAGAAAAAATCTCTATTGAAGTTTTTTGAAATGCAAATAAAAGTAGTTCCCTTTTAGTATTTTTTTTTTAAAATTTCATAGGGATTAAGCTATAAATTAGAAACACTATTGTGATCGTCATTTGTCAATATCTATTCCATGAACAGTTGAGAAAATGTTCTGCAGATGTTCATTGCAGACACAGAGGCCAAGACTTAGGCCTTACTATTTTCAGTAGAACCGACCTGACCCGGATCGTTTAACCTTGGGCAAAATTTTTGGGGCCAGATAGGGCCTTAGCAGCCACTCTTCCGCTCCGATCCGGCCCAACTTACAGGCCTACTTAAGGGATAAAAGGGTGTTTCAATTTTTTTTTTCAACGATAGAAATTTTATTAAATACGAACGAAAACGTTTACATCAGCTGTTAGCAGATACCAAGCAATCTCTCCCCCAAAAACTCACCTTCATAATAACCGAAACTCCAAAGTATATATAATTCATCAGGAGAACAACTGCATAAAATATATACTCTACAAGAACCTATCGAGCTCTCAATTTTATTTTAACATTCAAAGGCAGTAAAGAGCCTACAGTCACTCAATCGTATATATATCGATCACATCATGACATCACACACAAGAACAAGGCCACCAATTTCCCAAGTAAAAGGAGACTAGTCTTTTAGTTACATGCAACTGGTTGGTGTTGGACTCTTGGTGGGTCCTACTCGTAGAGCCGGCCGGCCTACCACCTGGCGGCGGTCTTGTTCGTGTTGCCACCGTACAAGCGGAAGAGATTGAAAGCAGAAACACACGAGAGCAGCACTGCGCTTAGACTGACTAATAAAGCGCTGGCAATTCCCTCCCCAACTCGGTTGCAAAACTTGTCATACATATTGCATATCTTCATCCATTGCAGCTCTGGCTGCCCCAACTTCGCAAACACCGCCGACTGTGCCGCAGCTCCTACTGCTGCCACACTCACATATGCCATCACCTAAATTACACACACAAATTCTTTACACCTCTTTAACACATCAATTAAGTATTAAATTCCGATTAATTAAGAGTAGGCAAGGATTTTCTGCTGACTCTGACTATCTATTATTATTGCAAGGTTAATGCACAATCACAAGCTAGATACAGTATAACCTGTATATCTATGTAGAAAATATCAGTATAAAGGTATCCCAAATCAATTACAAGAGATTGTCATGAAATATCGTCATAAAGACATCCGTTCGTTGAGGGAATTTCTTCTCCTTCCACAGGAGTAGGTATAAACTACTTCCTCAAGTCAATGAGTACACTGAATGAACTTAAAAGATGCCAAAAACTAACGACAAATAATAGTTCTAATTTGTAGCACGAATAAAAGGAGCTACTTATTTGTATATAAAAAAAAAGGATAACGCATAACTAATTAAAAGGGGGTTGATTCTAATTTAACCTCAACCTTTTAAAACATTTTAAATAGGGCAATGCTAGGAAAATTAAATTTAGAGAATAAATTTGTAAACTAAATGATGTCACCAATAGGAATAAGCACGTTGATAAACGTTTAAGTAATAAACCAATCATCAACTTTCATGCCTCTTAGTTTCTAAAACTTTCTATACAAATTTAGTCTCTCTAACATTACCCTTCTAAATAACTACCTAAAATATTGAAAATTAAACATCCGTTAACCCATCTGCGTTGAGTGACAATGTTATGAGATTAAACATCCTTTAACCCATCTGCGTTGAGTGACAATGTTATGAGCATTAAGTGATGACGTCATTAATGTTAAGTGATAAAGTGGATAAAACTTGATGCTGATTTATACTAATCGTCATCTTTGAAGCTCTAAATCCTTGTCGGCCCCTTTAGTCAAGTTAAACACTAAATTTGCTTGGCTAATCTCTTAATGATAGTGACTTAATAAATGTTAAATTTTTTTTTTATCGTTGGATGGTTATTTGGTGTTGAAAGATTATGAACAATTTAAAATCACCCTTCAAAGTTGAGTAGTTATTCGTCCTTTTCAACTCTAAAAAAAAGCTACTTAGTAATTTAAGATGTAAATAATCGATTAAGTTTACCTGATCGCCCGAGAAAATGATCCAAGCTATGGGCTTGCTGAAGAGCACATTGCCTCTAACCATGCTCACAACACAACGCATCACTTGCACCAAAGAGTAGGCAGCAACTATCCCATTAGCCACCACCAAAAACCTATATTATAAAAATAAAATTAGGTAAATTAAAATAACTCAAATAGCTAAGAAAGGGAACAAAATTCTCAATACAGAAGTGATTTTCGCAAGTTATTGCTTATTTCTAGTGATCAGGTTGAATAAATCAAAGAAAATTAAAGAACAAATAAAAATTATTTCCCTATCATACATAATACGACCATCCAGAGAAAGAGAGAGAGAGAAAGTGAGATGAGGAGGAGGATTCGGGATGTACGTACACAAGAGCTTTCATGTCCGTAAATTTAGCTTTCTTCTGGACAGTGAAGATCTCTTTGATCTGAGTATCAGTCCCTACAAGAGCAGCAGCAACAACTCCTAGACCGCAGATTACACACCTCAAAACCAACTCGGCCACCCTCACCCTCCGATCAATTACTTTTAAGTTGGTGCCGTGATACACCGGAACATTCCCAGGACTCACACCAACACCCAAGTAGCTCATTCTTCTTCCCCAAAAATTTACACTGCCAAAAGCCTAAAACTGTAAGTGCTTTGAGAAGTAGCACTTGAAAAAAGAGCACGAAGAAGAAAGTCTAAAACCCACACAACACCCCACTCAGACCCAGCAATTATACACTATCATCACTCACCCACCTAACATCTACTTCCCACTGCACTGCTTATATGAGTAATAATGTTATTTATATCATATTTTTATACCTTCTTAGATGATATTTAATATGGATATTCAAATATTTGGTGAATGGGGTCTTTGCTGCCAGCATGCAAAGGCCTGCCAAGTGGTGAAAGACAAAAGACTAGTAGACCTAGGAGTAAAGGGTACCTCATCATCCACTTAATTACGGGCATTAAACGATTTAATGCTTTTTTTTTTTTTACCCAATTTACGTAAAACGTATATACGAATATTTTGTGTTTTGTATAAATAAAATAAGAATATATGTGGAAAAAATATATTTTTATTTTATTAATATGTAATGTCATTGCAACGAGGTATTTGTCATATATAAATCTTTCTCCTTACTTTTAAAATTTATATTTAGAATATTTGTTATTTGTACTATGTAATCGGTTGTATATATATTTTTCAACTTGATTAGACTCAAAACCTTACTGCAATTAAGGCCACTTCGATCTTTCTTTCTTGAAAAATGTAAAATGCAGAAACATAGTGCCTAGGTAGGAGACTTTCCATAATTATTTTAAAAACCAAGAGGCAATAGTTTATTTATTTTTCCTCTAATTTAAACTGTTTCTAGAATAAATTTTTAATTGTGATGGAAATATAGATAGTACATCATATGTTTTTATGTAAGTAGTAAAAAATTTTAATTTTTAAGTTATTAATCTTTTAACACATATATCATATCATTTATATAAGAATACGTGATATACTGTCTCGTGTGATGATCACACTGAAAAATCTCTTTGTTTCTAGGTAGAGGTCGCAATAGTTGTTGTCCCGAGAAAGGGGGTGAGATCAGGTGAGGGACTTAAATTCTACCATTAAATGATGTCCGTTCTCTTCCTAGTGGAATTCATGATGACCGTTTTCTTCTTTTCTTCTGGGTGCACAATCATGGAGAGCTAGAAAGAAAATAAGAAAAAAATTAAAGAAAAATTAAGAACAAAAGAAGCAGATGAATGTAAATGATTATGCATGGTGATGGTGGGTCATTTTATTTGAATTATTTGTTTTGGATTTGGTTAGTGGTTTAGTGTTACTGGTTGTCCCTCTCGAATTATCGATGGTAGGTAAGGTGGTTTACTTGTTTTTGTGTTTCATTCACATATTACTATCTATGAGTTTTGGAGGAGATAAATTTATGCATCGTCATGGTCATCGATTATCATGCTTCTAATTTTAACAATACATGACCAATTTACGATATATTTATATCATTACCGTGCATGGCATTTTAATTTAAAAAAAGTTGTTCTCGTAGTTTTTAGAATGGACCTGGATTGTCTACCCTACATCATCCCATACTTTTCTCATCCCCTCCTATTTCTGTAGTCATGGTTAAGGTACGTCAATATTTTATATTCCTATTATTTTTTGTCTTATTATTTCTATAAAAAAATCAATATAAAATATTGACGTGGCTTAACCGTGACTACAAAAATAAGAGAGGATGAGAATGATATGGGATAAGAAGGGCAGACAATCCAGGTCCTTTTAGGGTATGCGACTAGATTGACTCGTAAGCAAGTTTCTTGGAGAAGCAAACGAGAATGAGCATGCCCTAGCTAGTAGCTAGTTATGCACCAGCCATACTTACGGGACCAGCTTCTAATATCCGTAAGATTACACAAAGACCTTTGTATTGTATTAATTCCTAATTGTTGGTGAACAAGTTCTTATATAAGCAAAAAACGTGCATGGTGTGGGATAATGGATTAATCTATATTTTCTTCTCCTAATGTGGGCGATGATATGAATTTTAATGATGATATTGAAACATGCTTGAAATCTAAAAGGAAGGTTGGGATCCGTGCTGTGCAATAAGAGAGAGAGAGAGAGAGAGAGAGAGAGAGAGAGAGAGAGAGAGAGAGAGAGAGAGAGAGAGAGAGAGGGAGAGAGAGAGAGCACGCAACGATGCAATCTGATCAGATGATGAAAATATGATAAGCCACACCAGAAAATGGATAATGGAGACTTGAGACTTCGAGAGAGAGGGATGGAGTGGAGAGGAGGTATGTATGACTTGACCCTGTAGTGCTCTGGCAAAGGCCATGCATACATACATATCTGAAAGTGACGATGCATGCATCCACCCATCTTCTTTTACTGCCTCGACTAAAACAAGACGACGCTAAGACGATCACGTTGTTTCATTTTTCAACGCGTACAGTCGGCTCGCCTAGCTAGCTTAATTGCAGCCTTTCACTCCTAACAAAAGATAAAGTCTTTATGGTTCTATGAACACTACACATTTTATATGACATTGTATTATTTATTATTAGCACCATACATCACGGTAACGGTATAATTGTATGGTTTTAAAGGAAGTTTCTCTCCCTATGAGCATGACAAACAACTCAACCTGATAACGATGTAGCACAGAGAGGGAGGAGAAAATTTATGTCCGACCAACCATATCCGACCTTAAAGAAAAATTGGTGATTGGTGGGATCACGGGTAAAAACACAATTTTGAGGGGGGGGGGGAGGCTCCAAATAAGTACACCTTCTTTTTTATGTAAGTGATATTCAAATTTAATTGAACTAAAATATATTTAAAATTATGTGACACACCATCTTAGCCAGCTTGAATGCGCACATTCAATTTCTTGGAGGAAAGTTTTTGCGAAAACAAGGCTATGGGCCACTTTTTTTTTACCGGCCCAAATATTTCTTGTGATTCGGAAAGCAGAAAACGTGGCCTTTATATTATAAGAAAAATTACTTGGGCCTAGTGTCTGAATCCAAAGGCCACTATCTAGTTTAATGTACAGCCCACCCAAAATTTGCGAGGAGTCAATGCATCGATCAGATCACAACATTTTTGGGAAAATAAATTTAAGGCAACGCTCTTTGAATAGAAATTATAAAAAAAAAAAATTCATTGGATCTGTATGTGATCCCACAAATGCAAATCTTAAAAACTTTGACTGCGAATCTTCCCAAACTTTTCCTCAAGGAAGATACTCAAACTTGCACGAATTATCACCTGCAATCAAAAGAGATAAAAGTATGGTATTTGTTAATTATCAAACAAACTAATGAATACTAACTCATTGAAGGCTCGATCTGAGCATAGAGTTAGGTCAATTGCCCAGAACAATGTACATGTTTCATTGCAACTTAGTTCAAATTTTCCTCTCTGTAAATTAAAGTAACTTGAAATAAAATATCGTCAATCTAAGCAAGTGGAAGCAACTGCATGCCTAATTAAGAGAGTTTAAATCTCAAGAATTATTACTTGGATCAAGGGCAGTGACCAATGCGGCAGAATTGAAGTAGCAAGTTGCTCCTTGCTGCTTGAATCTTTGATAGTAATTGTTGAAGGCATAAGAGGCATGGTGCTGCGTAGTATTAGGCCAGAAGCATTCTTGGTTTTCTTGTATCTTGCTGCAGTCTGCACCTCCCGCTTCACACGCCCACTTCATTGCCATTTGCAGCTCCTCATCCGGGGTCTGCTCATCTGCTATGCACCATTCCTGATCTAGCTGCCCACCTAGTTTCATTTCACAATAAATCAAATTTGAGGAAATTATTACTAATAAATAACTTTCAGTGAGGAATATATATATATATATATATATAATGGAGCTACTTCTTAAGTGAATCTCTTTTCACTTCAATGTTCATGGTAACATTACTGAACTAAATCTACAAGATGTCGCTAGAACATGTCAACATAATAACGATATAAAGTTTATGGTATGGATGGCATATGGAGTATTCCGCTACATGACCAGTCAAGCGGGATCTACCTTATAAAATTTATCATATACACACACACATTCATGCAATGCCGATATAACGAAAACTTAACAGATAATGACGAGTTAAACTGAGTAATACCAGATCTTTGTGGAGTTAGAGCCAAAAATAGGAAAGGTAGCAGAACCCAAAGGAAAGTAGAAGACATGATTGTTCAACGGAAGCTGTCCAGTTCCAAGAGCTTTAACTCCACATTTGTAAGTGGGATTTCAAAGATCTCCACCGACAGCCAGACAGCCCAGCACCACTCTCATCTTTTTAAAAAGTTGAAGTAACATGCTAATACTATATACGTTCCTTCTCTTCCACGAAATTACGGATCAATATAAGCTAAGCTTTACTTTCTCCACAGTGCCTAAAATGCCCTCATCTTTAGATCAGAACAAGTTTCGATTCGAGCCACATTCTAATCTTATCTAAACCATGGCGTGAAAGATTTTGAACATATTAGTGCCAATAAAGAGATATACATTGCTCTAACTAACTTGGCTACGCTAAATTTGTAGTTTTGAGAAAGTTGAGTAACATGTAAATCATTGCACGGTTTTTTCTAAGAACTTCGACGGTATGCGGGAGCTTTTGCAACTGCACTGTTAATCAAGAAAAATCAGACATACGGGTGAAAGTGGATAGAATATGTGCTACAATTGACAAATAATTAGTAGGTCATCAAGCCAGCCAACTGATCCCATCTGTGCCAAAAAATAATTCAAATTTACAAGAGAGTTGCTTCCTCATGCATTACCTACCTTCAAACTGTCTCTAAATTCTAATAAAATAGAATCTCATGAAGCACTCGTGCCTATATTTTTCGATTCGTTCCTATTTGTTCCTCTCTGGGTTTAACATATATAACTTGAGGATTCAGTCCTATCCTTACCCTCCAATCTCCATCTTCTAAAACGTTTTCTCTGTCTCTAGGTACTCTATAATGGATCGAAGGTCTTTGTTCATCCTCGTCGTTCTCTTCCTGCTTTGGGAATCAGCACCCCCCCTGCAGGTCCACGCTCTCAACTCCACTGATGTGCAGGCAGCAGTGACGGATATGCGATCAAAGTCCTACTACGGATTTGCCATTCTTCTGCAGATGCTAAATGCCACATCACAGCCATACCGAACGTTAACTTTCTTGATGCCTAGTGACTCAGAGTTATCAGCATCCCCAATATCAATAGACCATCTTGAAGATTTCTTGATCAGCCATGCTGTCCCAATGCCGCTCCTATTGAATGACTTTCTACATTTTCCGACAGGGAGTCTCATTCCATCTGGCGTTGAGAACAAGATGATCAGAATCAACAATCGTGGGAGAGCCAATTTCGTTGTCAACAATGCACATATTGTCACACCAAATATTTGCCAGAACTCGTACATTAAGTGCCATGGAATTGATGCAGTAATTAAGTATGACAATGGGTCTTCTATAAGTAGCTAAGTGAATCAAACATCAATCTGGTGGATTCAAATAAATTTCTCCGTCTTGTGAACGAATGTATAGCCGACCCCACTTAGTGGGAAAAGGCTTTGTTGTTGTTGTTGTTGTTGTTGTGAACGAATGTATTCCTATTGTTGTTTATTGTCCGTTCAGTAAAGAATGCTAAAGAAATTGTAATTGGATCGATTGAACTCAAGGAAACTCGTTACTGACATAGAATAGATAGCTTAGTATATAGCAGATAAAGGAATCCGCAAAGCTTCAGTTCTTCATTATTCATGCTCTTCAAGTGCATGTACAAACTTTTCTACTGTGAAAGGACTTCCACCTTTCAGACAGTAACCTTGTGTATAAGCTGACAGAGTTAATACTTCCAAGATGAACCAAAAGATGGAAAAATAACAGAAGGAAACAGACGACTAGTAGAAACAATATGACCTTTGATCTAGATAAATCTACGGTGAATTTGTTTTCCATGAGTTTGTTTGGCATCACCCGATCTCCTATTTCCTTGTGCTATTCTGCTTTCTGTTGCTGTCTTCTGGCAACAATCAGAACTTCTGGACAACTTCCTGGAACAAGAGTTAAATCCAAACTCCATATTGTTTTCAGATAAGCTTTCATCATGTCGATATGGGGAGTTGTAGCCCATCTCATCAAATTCCTGCAAACGATCAACCATAATTTTAACATTTATGATTTGCAATCAACCTCGAAAAGCATGTAGGGTTTATGAGTCATTTAAGACACGAGTAGAACCAGAGGAACACATCATATGTAAAACAAAATATTGTGTCACCTTGGATTTTGTTTTTGGAAATGGGGTCAAGCAAGGATTCAAATCCTTCAGGAACATGTCATCTGGACTACCAGGGCTGGCTGGTTCACCAGAGCTGAACTCCTGGTTGAATGAACAGATTATTATTGGAAAGGAAATAGGAAATGAAATCTAAGATCATTTAAGTCCTGTGGACAATCGCCATTAGTAAAATGACTTAAAACCATCACAAATTTGCTACCGATTTCTGTTACTTAAAAACTCATTGAAAACAAAATTATTACTCTATTGACTGATATAAAGAACGATTGCTAGCATAAGGTGTACTTACAAGAGAATTAGAGTATTCTTTGTCATCATAAGTTGGAGTTCTTGGAGAAGTGTCATCACGTCGAAGACATGCCCCAACTGAACCTTTATCTGCCTTCACCTGCTCAATCAAATTAATCAATATATAACATTTGTCAGACACCAGCATTTGGTTTCTTGAATTCAATATGCATAATATTCCACATATAACAAAACATGATGTTCCATCTAGCAGATGAACATGATACCTCTTACAATACGATTATCAAACCAACTACCTATGAACTAAACAACAACCGAACGAGACTGAATTCAATGCACTTTCATCCTAAAGAATCCTCTAACAGTAAATTGCAATATGACATAGAAGGTTTAATTAAAGACTGGAAAAGGTTGATGGTAATACCTCTGCAAGATCCTCTGCAAGGCACTGAAGCTGACCGGTAAGAGAACAAACCTGCCTTTGAAGATTTGGGATTACTTGTTTTGCTTGCTTCAGTTCTGACCCCTGCTTCTCCAACAGCTCTTGAAGCTGAGAATTCATAACATCCGGGAACAAAATTGCGCTCTTCAACGATTTGATTTCTTCCCTTTGCTTCAAACACAAATCCTTCAGTTTATCCACCTGCACTTTCCAAACAACCCCACCGCCTCATTATCTAAAAGTGGCACCAAAATCCGCCAATTTATCACAAAAAATCAGAACTGTACTGCCTCATTGTTCAAAAAGTCTTGAAATTTGCTCCTAATTTCTTAATTCCTAAATTTTCAAATATCGCACTCTATTAATTGTCCAATCTTATAGCCGTAAACCTGTCGAATTTTCAGAAAGATCTTTAATTTACTGACAAAAAATTTCAAAAAATTAAGCTTTAAAGATATAATTACAGAAACATTTGAAATTTGCGACAGTAATTTCTACTTCATAGATGCAAACATAGATTGAACAAAGAAATAATGCAAAACCATCAATATTTTGAACATAATTAGTAGGGGGAAAACTCACTTCTCTGTTCTTTTCTTGAATCATCAATTTAAGCTCGACAATTTCAACTTCTTGCTCCTTATTCAAATTCAAGAGCTCTCTCTCACTCCTCAACACCATGGCCAGCGTCCTGGTGTTCCCTTTTACCTCAGTCAACGCTTTCACCTCCTTTTTCTTATCCGACGAGGTCGTTCCCGCTCCTTTCCCAAACAGCTTCCTCCCCAGCGCCGCAAAATTCGATCCCGACCCGTTTTTAGCCGGCTTTTTCAATCCGCCCGCGATCAGATCCGACGGAATCACCAGCCCCGTCGGGTTAATCGGCTTGGCCTTGGAAGTCGACCGCTTTTCCATGAACTTTTTCACCATCGTGGAGATATTGGGATCCGAGGGCTTGGATTTGACGACGGCGCGTGAGGAAACTGGGAGCTTGAGCTCTGTGGAAGACGAGGGGTCGGAGAAGTGCGAGGAGGTCGAGGAACGCGCATCGTACGAGCTGTACCGCGACGAGGGCTTCATTGTAAAGCTAAAAACTTGCTCAACTCTTCTGCTCTGCGAGGTCTCTGAGGAAGGAGGGACTGAGTAACTACTACTGCTGTGCCGTTTGGATGAGTTTTTGAAAAGAAGAGGAATGGAGCAGAGTGACACGTGGCTCTGTCAGCACCGGGTGTTTTGCCGCTGTCTGAATTCAAATTTTTTTGCGCCACCCGCTCCGTCCGCCTTGGTTTTGTTTGATTGTGTTAGTTGCAAAGCCCCCTCGTTCCGTTTCTGTATTACGGAAATACCATTAGATGCCCTACTAAACGGTGTCGTTGCATTTCAAAAAGGGGAAAGTTGCAAACCAAGGTCCCCACAAACCCAATTTCAGATTATAGCAGTTTCAGATTATAGCTGTAAAACTGAATTCGGATTCTCTTTATGACAATTTTAGAGATCCGTCAATCTTGTTTGCTTCTTATATATCGTGCGGTCAGAAATCATTTTAAATATTTTTATTTAAAATTAAACACAAATAGTACTTGATAAAAACTGACCATATAATATAAATTATAGAGACAAAATTTACGAATTCTCATCATCCTCGCTAAAGATCCGCAAAGGATGCTGTTGTCTGCACTAGTGCGCTACACTGAATAGTCAAATTTACACAAAAATTCAAAACCGGGCATTATTTGCAGCCCCTAAAACCTTTGAGCTTTTATGCCACAAAAAAACCCGAATACCAAGTCTTCAGAGAGGAGGGAAAATCTCACGAATGTCTGAATTTCTCAACTGACCCCTTGATCCCAATTCGGAAACTATCAAACCCAATTTACAGTTTTCGAATTGTTGGGGGGTTGAAGAAGGCTTCTTGGATATATACGTGCGTTTGAAGTTTGAACAGGCACAGTTAAAGCAGCCAAGCTGGTGGTGGTGCTGCTCGCGAGCTCTCGCAGCTTCAGGAAACAACGATATGGGTCGTTCTCGTGGAAACTTTCACTCTGATGAGGACCCCACTCAAAGGTTGTAGTTGGTTTTCAATTAAAGTTCTGTTATTTTTTGTGTAAATTATTACTTGAAGTTGCATTTGACCTTTGCGTGGTTAGGGATTTTGATTGGTATTTGGGGAAATTTTGGCATTTCAGGGTACATTTTGGAGCTTTAGTTGTGTTGAAATCATCGATAATTTGTTAATTTGTTATACAAGAGAACAACTGACTGTTTGGTCAACAGGAAAATGTGTACTTGCCTGAATTTTTAATCAATCACACGACTTGTAAGATTTGTATTTTCCCGGAAATGTAGGGAAGCCCACGTAGCGAGTTATAATTTTGCAAATGTTTTGATTTTAGTTTTCGCTTTTTTTCTGCCCATCAGGCTGCCTGTGTCCTATGACAGAATTCTTTACTCAATATCCGTTTTTGCTACTTGGATTCTACTGGTGTTTCATTATCTTTTCGAGACGTCTATTAACTTTCATCTGAATACCAACTTTTGATAAAGCAGATCAAGGAGAAAAAAGAATGCATCCATTGGAGAAAATTTAGAGTCTTCAGCCGCAGGTACTTTCCCCACTATCATGTAGTAATCAATTGAATCCGTTAAAAAGAAAGATATTGCAAATGGTTTGTATAACTTTGCTGTTTCAACTTCTTGTTATAGTGGTAGTACAAGGTTATAATCATGCCAACAGAGAATTACTGTCTCGTCTTTGTTAAATGACATTCTTTATTTCGTTTGTTATAATTATCCAAAAAAGTTGTGTTTTCTTTGTTCATTCTTTATTTCATTTCCAATTTTCGAAATTTTGGGTGCAGGTCAGGGAACAAGTGAAGGAAAAAGGGATTACCACTGCAATTATTGCAATAAAGACATCACAGGGAAGGTCCGAATCAAGTGTTGTATGTGCCCTGATTTTGACCTGTGTATAGAGTGTTTTTCTGTTGGAGCTGAGGTGACATCCCACAAAAGCAACCACTCTTACAGGGTTATGGTTAGTATTAAGATCTGAGTCTCTTTTTTCTTATATCTTGTTAAGTAGAGTTCTCCGTGGTTTGTAATTATTTGACAAGTGATGTGAATGGAGTGTCTTGTAAGATAGAAATGAGTGTATCCCTGTTTAAGCAACTATCTAACAACTAAAGAGTTAGACTTCCTTTTTCTATGAAGTTGAGAACTTGAGAGGAATATTGTCATCTAATACTTTATCTTTTGACTTACCCCTTCAACTAATAGTATAACGTTTATTATATGTAACTGAAACTCTGTTTGTAAATGCTTTTCTAATGGTAAAAAATGTCCCGTCAGGTGTTTATTTTTTAGCGTATTTCCTTATAATATTTGATTTTTCTCACGACAGAGTTGTTAGTCTAGTTTTTATCCAGTTATGATGCAAATAATAGTGAATTTGGACAATGAATTGCATCCCTCCCTGGACCTACGCTTACTTTTGCATTTCCCTTTCAACAGGACAATTTATCTTTCCCACTTATTTGCCCAGACTGGAATGCAGATGATGAAATACTACTCCTGGAGGTATTTTAATTTGCTTTTTAATCCTTCAAATGAAGTTGCTAGCGATCCTTTTCTATTTGACTTGTATCCGGTTTCAGTCTTTTTTCTATACATTCCTTATTGTAGGCATCTGAAATGTATGGATTGGGGAACTGGGCTGAAGTTGCTGAGCATGTTGGGACGAAGAGCAAAGAGCAATGTATAGAACACTACACAAATGTTTATTTGAACTCACAGTACTTTCCTCTTCCGGTATGATGCAATTTTGAACAAGTCAGTTCTCATTCAAGTTTTAACTTTTCACAAAAGTAATCAAGTTGTGGAATATATCTGTTCAAGGACATGTCACATGTTGTTGGAAAAAATAGAAAGGAGCTTCTTGCTATGGCTAAAGGGCATGGTGAGGACAAGAAAGGTTAGTGATAGTTACTTCTTCTCCGTGTTTAGGTATTTTTGTTTCCTTCCATTCTGAATGATAAATCTCATGGAAGACACATATTAGATGAATTTCCACATTCAGCTTTTATATATTTCTCTTCTACTAAAATAAGAAAAGCCATTAATTCTGGTGAATTTGGAGGTACATACTTTGTAGTTTATGTATTCCTTCTGGTTGTTTTGATTATTTTCTTTTTCATTTTATACTTGGTGTTAGTTTTTCTTATTATCAAATACTTGTGACTGTTATAGGATTTCCTACGCTGGGGGATCATAATTTGAAGGAGGAATCTCCATTTTCTCCTTCAAGAACCAAGTATGGTCACCATCCCAATAGATTCATGAGTTAGACTATTAGTACACATATGATACGTTTTAATTTTGAAATTTTCTTAATTTACTCAGAGTGGAAGATACGCACAAAGGTGGCCCTTCTGGCCGTTTAATGTCTAGCATGAACTCTGGTCAGATAAGATCTATCCTTGACTCCCTGTTTATGACTATCAAATAAAGATGATCTTGGACGATTCTCAGGTTTATTCTTTTGCTTTCCTGTAATTCAGATGTAGAATCTGGACTTCGCTCTAGTGGTGCAAACGTGGCAGCAGCAGCAGCAGCTGGTAACAAGAAACCATCCAACATGGCCCAGGTTAATGATGCTCCTGGTGTCATTAAACTGGAAGGTAATGCAAAGTTCCACCCATAAATTGGTTATATGTCCTAACATAATTCGAAACAAGTTTAAACACTAAGGCTAATAAATGATGCTTGTACTCCGTCTGATTGGATTTGTGAGCGTTTGTTTTCAGGTAAATCACATGACTGATGTTCTCTAAGATGGAATCATGTGACTGAAGAATAATATTTCTTGTTTATCGCTAACGTCTACAAATCTACACATCTACACATCTACTATCTATATGATTATTAAGTTTAAAGAATTGGTGTGGGATCCATAATTTTATACGGTAGTGATGAACTCCCGAATCTTACTTGTTACTATTATTTCTGGCAGATCCTCATGCAGAAAGGAAAGGGAAGAAACCAAGTTCTTTGGGGAGTAAGGGTCCTTCTTTAGTGGAGATGAGTGGCTATAATGCCAAAAGGCAGGAGTTCGATCCTGAATACGATAACGATTCTGAGCAGCTATTGGCTGACATGGAGTTTAAGGATACTGACACTGATGAGGAGCGTGAGCTGAAGTTAAAAGTGTTGCGAATCTATGCAAAGAGGTAGTCGCTCACTAAGTTGCTTTTGGTGCATATTTATACTCAGATTAGTATATCATATCCATTCATTTCATGGAACTTGATGTAGCATAACGCAGGACAAGTTAACAATGAAGTGAAAAAAAAAAAAAAGAATATGAACTTCAGTCATTAATGCAACCGATGAGGATTTCTGTTTTGTGTGTTATTTTTTGGCTGAACTTCTTTTTTGTATTTTCGATGTACGTTGAGTTATGTACTACGTAGCAATATAACATGACTAGAAGTTGAGATTTGACGCAGCAATTATTGTGTAAAGTTATTGATGTTTTAACCTTCATGGGGATAATTTGTTTGCAGACTTGATGAGAGGAAGCGTAGAAAGGATTTCATACTAGAAAGAAATTTATTATATCCTAATCCTTTTGAGAAGGACCTATCACCTGAAGAAAGGGCTATATGTCGACGATATGATGTCTTCATGTGTTTCCATTCCAAGGAAGAGCATGACGAATTACTTCACACAGTTATTTCAGAGCATCGCACTTTGAAAAGAATTCAAGAACTTAAGGTATGGTACTTGGCTGAGAACAAACTGCTCTTGGATATTAATCCATTTTCATTTACCAATTGGAATGAGTTGTCCATTTTTCATGTAGAAGAGTCGATCTTTCCTTTCACATTATAGACATGCAACTCTGATCGTAAAAGTTTTAGTGCATAGTATCTAAATCATGTCCAATTATTGGTTTCTTTTTCCACTTAGCTCATCACACTCTTAATCTATAAACAGTTGTCTTATAGCAGACACGCACAAATACACGTGGATACGGATGGCTTTATTAAGTCCTTTCACGAATCTTGTAATATAATCTTACAGGAAGCCAGAGCTGCTGGTTGCCGTACATCGGTGGAGGCAGATAGATATCTTTTACAGAAACGAAGAAGGGAAGCTGAAGAAAATGCTCGCAGAGCAAAGGAAAGTGGGCAAGTTGGTCCAAGCAGTCAGGGAGGTCCAAATTTGTTCATCTCCTCGGAGTCTGTTGGCATTGGCAAGGACTCAAATATAAGGCCAGCTGGACAAGCCACTTCAGGCTCTGCCAGCGAAATGGATATAATGGGATTTTATGGATCAGATTTACTGTCCGAAGCTGTAAGTATTCATTTACCAACTTATTAGTTTATCAATAAGCAAGCACAATTGCTGCTTGCTCCTAATTTCGATACAGCGTGTTCTTTTATACTCGTTATATTTGTTAAAAGCCTTTTTTTTCTGAAACAATCATCTGTGTTTTGTGCCATGGCAGGAGAAACGCCTCTGCAGAGAGATTAGATTGGCACCACCCGTTTTCCTTAAGATACAAGAAGTTATATCAATTGAAATCTTCAGTGGCAGAGTCAGTAAACGATCAGATGTCCATCACCTATTCAAGATTGAACCTAATAAGATCGACAGGGTTTATGACATGCTCGTGAAAAAGGGTGTCGCTCAGCCTTGATCGTTGACGCTGTTGCAGGCTTCTTCTTGTTTTTGTTGTAAATTATGTTCATGTGTATCAGTTTGGTTCGAGAGAAATAACAAATTAGCAAATGCTACTGCTGCTGTATCCTCCTCTCTCAATTTCACAAAAATTTCGTAGTGATATGAAAGATTGGTAGTCTCTACTTTCCTTATATTTACTGGTCATGTGATATTTCACTCAGAGTGCTACGTTCGTAATGAGGTTACGGACATAGCACTTGTGTGAAAGCTCGAAAGGTTAACATCTTAATGCGTCAATTCTTAGCTAAAGAGGTCTTAAACTTTATAAGCTTTACAAGGAGGGAACTTTAACGAAAAGCACTTGGTACTGTTCACTTTAACGAAAAACCGTATTTTTACACTAAAAAGTCAATCCTGGTACTATTCACTTTACCCTTTATTTTGTCCTTATCATTAAAACTCAAAGTTTTCAAGCCCTTTTCATTAGTTTTCCTTTACAATTACTTCTGAAGACTGAAAAATATGACTCAAAAGATACTATTAAGATACATATATAGGGCAGTTTTCAGAAGTTGCTATACAAGGCATGGGTGCAAAACCACACACCAATTACTCCTGCGAGTAAATTGAGCAACTGCCTAACATCTGATCACCACTGGATGACAATTACTTGGAGCACTTGGAGTTAATTAATCTATCAGATATAAAGCTGTACACCTTCCAATTCCATGATGTTAGAAACTTGATAGTTCTTTTCCTCTATGCCTACAGTTCGTCTTATCTACAAGAACCAGGCCCCTAAACCTTCCACAATCTTATCAGCAAGGTCAAAATTCTCGACCTCAGCCACGAGCAGCCACTTCTGTAGCTTCTGGTGCTTCACATTTCTCCGTTTTGTTACAGGCACAATCATCACTGCCATTGCCATCACTTGAATTATTAATTTCGTCTTCATTACTGGTACAAGGCTGCTTCCGCAAATTCACCCTCGTTACCTTTCCCGAGTCCTCATCCGGTGGGGCTAAATCCGGTGACTCCTGTTTCTCTTCAACAGCTTCATGTTTAGAACAAGTTTTTGCCACAGAACTAGCAGAGATTGATAAGAGCTTCATGCTAGAACTGATATTTTCAGATACGTAAGAGAGTATATCAGGCTTTGCCTTCACATCAACCCATCTGTTCTCAATCCAGTCTTTGGAAGCCCTAACATCCTTTCTCTGGAAACTCATCAGCTTCTCCTCACCTAGGATACATTGAAAGAAACATCACTCATCCCGATAACCGATCGGAAACCCAGATAAAACATTTTACCAGTTTCGATAGGTTTAAGTCTACTAAACAAAGTACTATCTGAAAGGTAAGAAACATAATTTAAATCAAATACAAAACAGCTTTCCATCTGAGAGGATACCGGGGAAGTAGACTTGTATAGTATCAGCCCCAGAAATGCTAACTCCAGTAACAACTCCTTCCCACCAGCCATCACACCACCACGCATCAACTGCTACTCCAACCTCAATACAACACTCTGTAGAATCATTGAGACGACAGGGTCGGATTGTCAGGCGACCTGAGCATCTCATGCCTAGTTTATCTGGAGCAGCAACTTTAAAGGCAGGGACCCACTCCTACACATTAAAAAAAAATGAAGGTCTAAATTCATTCAGCGATTAGTTTACACAAACAAGCCAATTACCAAAAAGGTAACATAACATTTCTTGCAAATGCACATACTAGAACACAATGTTAACTTACAGGCAATTTGTTAATTCAACTCATACTCATGCATTCAAATCACTTCGAATAGGCGAACAGCAACCAAGCTACATGGTAATATTTACTTGAAGAAAAAAAGTGACTACAGATTTATTTCTGAGGCAATGTCAACAAAATATATACCAAAAAAATGCTTTCCCATGCTCCCTATGTTCTAATATGAGCCAGAAAAGAATTCAAAATAAAGATCTCTAGAAGACCACATACCTCGAGATTGCCAGATCCATCTACATCTTGCAAATCATCATATTGAACTTTGAGAAGCTTCTGAGATGTCTGCAAGACCTGACAACTGAACCAACATCCTCGTATGCCACTATCTTGACAGAGCAACTCTATCTTTTCATCAACCTTAAAAGACACTGGACATAGGGGCTCTGAACCAGCAATCTTAACTCCCATGGTTTTCCTTGATAATTTTAATTTCAACTTTGGGTATGTTGGAACGCAATTTGGTAAATGATTCCCAGTGACCAAATTTTTAACACCAGAATGTCCCTGATTCACCTCGCTGCTTCTGTTTCTCTTAAGGCTCACCCTCATAGGATCATCAGGTGCTAACTCTTCCTCATCTTCATAACCAAATTTATGGTACTTGGCTTTCTGCTTGGAGATGTGGACATCTAAAGAAGACAGAATTGCTTGATTAGAATACCCCCGCAATTTAGCAAGACTGAAGGGCTTAACCTTGCAGTCCTCAAATTGCCGAAAGCACATAAATATTCCAGAGGAAGATTTTTGAGCTACAACAGCCAAGCATTTTTCATAGTGCTTAGGAGTCAGAACTGTTGCAGGACCATCAACACACTCAGCACTGATCACCTGAACATGAGGTGTGATAAAAACTTCTCTGGGGTGTGGATTCAGAGTAATCACATCCATGACTTCCCGAGTGTGGTGAAACCAACGCACTTTAACCTTTTTCTGCCCTTTCTTGTCTTCATACATGTCTTCCACGTAACCTAGGTAATGATGTTCTTCTTCCAAAGCCATTACAAATACAAAGGAATGGACCTGAAAATCAGGGTCACAATAATAAACATTACACCACGTATCAATGAAAATTAAAAAGACGCTACTTAAGGGAATAAAGAGCACCACTAAATGTAGAAATAATAATTTATACAACAAAAGAGGTAGATCATCTGATGCTTACAGAAATGGTAGTTTCATTCTTGTAAAATGCTGGATAATGCTTCAGCTGTTTGGCACAAATCCAGGCAACACCAGACCATTCAATGTCTAAATTGTGAACTTTCACTTTCCTCGGAACCTTGATGGGAAAGGGAGAACTTAGTAAAATGTATGTATGAACCCAAAATCCAGACTTAGCAAATAACAGCATGTGAATACCGTGTGATCAGGCAGAGAAGTTTGATGAGCGCCGAGTCCAGTAATTGGCAATGGTTGTGTTGCTTCATCTGTTGGAGAATCTGTTATAGAAGAGTAGGTTTGCTTTAAATTTATACTTCAAACTCAAATGAGCATTAGAGGAGTGAAAAGTGACAAAAGACCATACATGAATATAGAAGCATAATGCAATAACTGATCTTGGGAATTCAAAAACTCAACAGTTAAAAAAAGCTTATCAACAAGTGACAAAGAGGCAAACCATGGTATGCATTCCAATCCTTGCTAGTCAGCACAGAATTTTCAACCCATAAGAAGAATTTTACCCATAGCAGGCTGCCCAACTTTCATGTATTTTCTAATTGAGAATGGACTAAATACAGGAACATAATCACCTCACCAATTGGCCCAAAGAAGGTATTCATGATGCCTTATGGTAACATTTGGCTCATGTTACGATTGGAAAACACTAAATTAAAGCTAACAAAGATTAAAGATTGAAAAAGATAGATGACAAAGAAAGCTACTCAAGCAGCCAGCTTACTGAACTTCGTTTAATGATCAATGACCAAGGTGAACAAAATGTTAATTTCACAATATTAATAGATTAACCCTTAGAAACCCCTGTAACAAGAAACAAGCCTTAGAAAACCCAAAATATGAGAAATCATTATTCAAACATATTAATGTCCAAAATAACTTAATGCTTCCAATTAAACTTATCGCTTTAAATTTTCATTTTGTACAATACCAGAGGTTGACAAATTACTTTCCTAAGCCAAAAATGAAAGCAACGAAACTATGGAAAGAAAAAGTTTATGCAATTTCTCCAAATCAACAGTTTCACATGTTACTCAAAACAGGAATTTCAACTTAAATATGCCTGTTTGGCTACAATTTCACATATTGTGTTGTATGATACATTACACTCGCTACATAGTCTCCGTTGAACAGAAGCAAGGACTCCATAGCCAGATTCTCAATTCCTAGGGGTGTAAACAAATAACTACTTACAGGAACTAAAATCTTCCAAAATTTCACACGTGAGAAACAAAGGCCACAAAATTAGGGTTTTAAAATTCACCACCCGCACCTCTTCCAATCACCCCCAACCCATAAAACAAAACAAAAATGAAAGAGAGAATAAATAATTCACATCCAGCTAAAATTTCAAAATGTTCGGTGAGCAATCAAATCGTGGTTCTAAAAGGTAAACATGTAATAAACACGAAAGAGAGTGCAAGACATGAAGAAAAAGAAATTAGTAGGCATAAAATTTAAGGTCTGATATGGGTACCCATTCTATCATTAGAGGTTGAAAATCCCATTGACGAACTCATACTAGCTCTCCCTCTCTCTCTTTCTCCTCCCTTCCTTAAGTGGGTGCAGTGGATTTGTGAAGATTGAAGAAGTAGAAGGCAAGGATGTTTAATGTGACATGAGAACAGGCCGGCAGAAAGAGCTTATAAAGAATGATGATATAGAGACACGTAACAGCCAGCCTCTCCTTTCTGGAAAGATGCTGAAATATAATTGGCTTTACATATTTCTTTTCAAAAAGTTGGATTTCAGTTTATCAAAGGAAACCAAATTAATACAGGCAATCTCCTCTAACCATAAATCACTAACGTATAGTATTAACGATTAAGTTATCGACTTTTTTTTTGGATTACAAATCCAAAATAATTTTCATTTCTAAGAGAAAAGGTGGCCAGAATACTCCCTCCATTCTCATAACAGAAAATATTTGAAAGGTAAAATTTATCTAATGCAATTATTGTGGATTAATAGGAAAGGAATTATGTATCCGCCCAGATGTCTTCTGATTACGTTACATTCCTAATGAAAAACTTACTTGATTTGATTAAGAATGGTTTACTTGGTTTTAGAACTATCGACTACACCATGTGCAGAAGCAGACGCTTAGAGCTACATGTAAGATTCCTAAAGAAAAACTTAACAGTGGCAAAACCCAATACTGTGGTATGCTATAATAGGTTATTGTAAGAAATTCAAAGGCATTTAGCATGCCTCCCAACTCCCAATTAGATAAATAATGTAAAAGAAATTGCCTCACCAAAGCAAAGGCAAACTGTATGCTATGTATAAAACTGGAAATGTCTTTTGCCATATATAAGTGGGACTGTTGTCAAAACATGTTGGATAGAAATACCTTAACATATTAAAACTAAGTTGTTTCAAAGAAAGTTTCTTTCCCATTTTTTTTTTCCTTCTTTCAATACTCTGGCCATCTGCTAATGGAAAGCACATGAGCTTAGAATTACATCCTAATGAAAATATAGCACCGGCAAAACACAATGCTTTGATATGCTAAAATAAGTTCTACCAAAGTTCAAAGGCAGGTTCAAGTATGCCCCTTATACGGCCACACCCAATTACTAAAAAAATGCCCCCTAAGGCAAAGGCAATATAACTCTTTATCATACATAAAAGTAGGAATGCCGTACAACGGTAGTTGGACAAACATCCTCATTAAGACTGTTGTTTGGGGAAAAAAAATTATTTCTTTGTCCTTTTTTGCCTCCTTTCCGTATTCTTGCCTTCCCTTTGATACGTATATTTTATTTCTCGGGAATATAAATTATCACCATGCCATCTCTCTTAAGTTATTAGTTCTCAGTATTATACTCACATAATTAAAGCTGACTATCAGAGCAATTTACTTAAGAACATATATCCAATATATCTCAACCTTGAGCATCCAATAAATTATTTATTCATTAAATCAACTCCATACATTTTAAAAGTTTGAAAACCTCGCATACCATTAACATAAGAATACACCACCAACATGTTTCAATGTTCAGAAATAAAATCATTCTAGTCTATATTTCACGTACAAAGCACACATACGGATGCAAGCACATGCACATGCATGCTCACTCACACTACAGAACCTAACGTATAAATTAGAGAACATACTTCCATTACTTTCAAAACTTCCTATGCTAGTATAGATGAAACCATGTACTCTTTCAAAAGTGCAATTCTAGGGGAGGATCTTAGGCAAATATCATCTCAATTTACGGTTCCAAATATGTTCAGAGCTAGAACATTTAGTGGGGAGACAGACATGAATTAAATAAACAAATTTTTCATGTTGCTGTGGATAGCTCAACTGGCATAAGTTGTTCACAAACTAGTATAAATTTCAACAGCTTCTGAGGCAACAACAGACTTAACTAAAGAAATTCTGGATAAGAACTTCCTTTTTTTTTTCCAGTTATTCACCTCTGACTCTAAACAAAATGAAACAAACGCACAACATTGAATGTAATTTTTCTTAAAGTCACCTACTTGTGTGAGACTTGTTAGGGTAGCGTTAATATCAAACTTATACAAAATGTTCCAATTCATTTTAAACTAAAGCATTATGATAATCAGTCTGCAAAATTTAAAATCCAAGATTCTAATTATAAAGATAAAAGATGCAATGTTGGAGGGACCTACTACTGCTTGCCCTACACTGAGAAATTTACATCAATGCAACACAAAGATGACTTAAGTCAATCTCACAAGTATCTCCAATTCAACCTTTACATAACATATCACTACCCCTTAGTAAAGTATAAGTATAACCATACTCATGAAATTTGTTATTCTAAACATGGTATGTCAAGGTCTTCTTCCGTATTGACATTCTATTCAAAAAAGTATATTGAGGCAATGCTTATCATAACTTGTATTCATAAGCTTAAATCCACTCACAAATCACAACAAATGACAATATTATTCATCATACTCAGCCAATGCCATCAAAAATTCCATAAAGGGAACCTGAAAAGTGCGATATATAACTTAACATACCAGGAAACTCTGACCAGCAACGCCTCGAGACCAAGGAAGTAAGCCATTCTACAACTTCTCTTCTTGCTCTCCATTTGGTACACACATTAATGAATCCCTTGGACTCGTAAGTCTCCACGAACTCATCCGAAAGAACATACACCATGTGCCTTATACTCCTCTCAGTCCCTACAACAGCAAGGACTAATTCCCCTGATGCCTCCTTCAAGTAGTAATGGACCACACGGCTACCGCGCTCTTGACACAGAGTGTGCTCCTCCCACGACACAAAACTATGAGTATTCGTCATCATCTCTATATTAAGACACCCAAAATCACAGAACAAGAAGCCCCCTTTTATCACATTACCTGAAACATCACAACTTCACAAGAAATAAGCTTTTTGGTACTCAAATAATAACCCAATGACCATAAAACCCTAACTTAGAACTTGGGTTCTCATAAAAACTCAATCCCATTGAAGAAAAGCACAGTAAAGTTCAGATAAATAATAAACAAACAAATAAGAATGATAGGAAAGAAAACCTACCATTGCAGGTATACTCAGGGAGCGGAAATTGCTGTAGCCAAATAGCCTCCAAAAGAAAATAAAAACTGCCCAATAGTAAAAACAAAGAGAGAGAGCTAGGGTTGCTGTAAAACCTAGACCCAATTCAAAAAAGACGAATTGGGTATATCTCACTCTCAGCTGGTTTCAGCGAAAACAAACAGAAGATTGAAATGCCATTGACGGCGAGGACGACGAAGAAACCCAAAGAGCGGAAAAGTGAGAAACAAACAAAAGGTGGGGGTTTTCAGCGGGTTGAAAGGTGAAAGCAGAGCAGAAAAGGAGTGAGCTTTTTCGTGAAAAGGGGAAGGAGGAGAGAGAGGGAAGGAGGAGAAGGCTATGGAAGACGAGGGGAGGGGCGGAATAACCTAATGTTTAGAGAGGGAGGGAGAGAGAGGGGCGGCAGCGGCAGGGCATGAGTCGGGTTTTGCAGAGCTTGGACACCAAGGCAGCCCATGACATCTGGTGACTGGTGAGGGAGAAGTGGTAAAAGCCAGAACAGGGAGACTACCATTGACTTAGGTAAGTGATTTAAGCTGACCAATAAAGAAAATACCAAGTAATATAAGGTAAATGATACCTTTAATTTTCATAAAAAAATTTAGGATTCATCGATGAAAATGCAACTAGGTTATTGATGAGTAGATTTTATATTATATATTTTACCCTAATCTTAGTATATTTTGGTTAATATATTGGAAGAATTTTGATACTTTGAATTGTATTTTCAATATAGGACTTTCGACTTCCTCTGGAGCAAAACAGGACCAAATGGACGAATTTTGGAGTAATTCCAATTGGAGGACGTTCGTGAGTCAATTAGCTTGATCGTATCAAAATTTGGGATTTTTCCACCAAGCAGTTATTTTCTGGCGATGAAATAAAGAAGCCGTGCGCAGTGCTGGAAAGTGACGTTTTTGGGCTTAAATGACGTTTTTGGAGCCCAAGATGACCTCGGATGGGTTCGTGGCCTTCTGGAAAAGTGTTCAGAATATTCCAAACATCAAATCCAGCTATATTGGGCCAGTTTTGGAGCAGCTTTTGGGCCAAAACGTGGCTGTTCAGATTTTAGACGAATTTTACTATTTTTATTTAGGGTTTTTATTAATTTTAGTTGGCTAGGGTTTTTGTGGTGGCTTAGCAAATATATTGCTTAGCCGTCTACAGTTTTAGGGAACGCTTTATTTTATGCAATACTGGAGACAAAGAGAAGTTCTAGGGTTTTGAAGATTTTCTACTTGAAGGTGTTTTCAATCATTTTCTTAATAGATATTTCTATGATTTCAATTATGAATATGCGGAACTAATTTCCTTTGCTAGGGCGAAGCCTTGAGCCTTAGCATGAATATGTGATTTTTATTTAATTGCTTATGATCGATTGCATGCGTACTTTGAATTGTTAATCACCGGGATAAAAACTGTCTAATTGTCGTAATGCCTGATCACCATTAGGATCTTTAGAAAAGTAATTTGATGCAATTTTGGTCGGAAGGTTCCCTGAAATTGACGCTGGCTTCTTGTGATTAATAATTGTAATTTCTCTTAGGATGAATATCACGTCTTAAGGATTGCATGGTTTTTCAAAGGATTTTCATAAAGCATAATGAGTCTTTCATGTTCATATTTGATCCGAACGTCCGGACGGGTTGCATGTTAGATATACGTTCTACGTTGGAGGTTCCAAGTAGAATATGAATTAGGAAAATCTAACCTTCAAAGTGGTATGTGTAGATCATAAGTAATGGGTAAAAATTCATAGGATTACTAGGTGATGGTGGAACCCTAGTGCCTTCTCAATTTGATTTTCTCAAAACTGTTTTCTTCTCTAGTCCTAATATTGCAGATTGTCTTATCATTAATAGTTAAATTCGTTTTTAATTTAAGTAGGTTATAAAATCAATCATCTAAATTCTACTTTACAATCATTAATTGAAATCTGATTTGTTTCGAATTATTTAATAATCCCTGTGGAGAATGACCTTGCGAGATCCGTTTATACTACAATAACCTTGTGATTCTTGCAAGTAAAATAAGAGGTTTTTATCGCATTCACATAAGCAGTAAAAATCCTATCAGTTATAATTCAGTTACCGCTGTTGTAATATAGCCAAAGAATTGTTTTAATTGAAATGCACGTACAAATTATAGGTGACGAGAATTTACATACAAATCAAAAGGTAACGAATATTATAATTTAGATATGATTGAAATCAGTTAAATCTAAATCAATAACTATTAGAAGTAAGAAATAATGATAAGTGAAGTAACTTTAATTAGAACAACGACACATGGACATGGTGGTGGCTATTGCATAGCAACCCAAGAAGGAGAGGTAGCCGAATTGGGAGGATATTTTTTTGGGAACTTTAACAAAAAAATTTATGTACTGTTTATTTTTACACTAAAAAGTCAATCCTGGTATTATTCATTTTACACTTTATTTTGTCATTTTCGTTAAAACTCAAAGTTTTTAAGTCATTTTTATTAATTTCCCCTATTTTTTTAGGTTTATTCTCTAGAAGAGAATCATTTCCAGATTTACTTTGTGGGGATTCTAGGGATCTCCACATTGTAGTCGTTCATCGTACATCATACGATCAATTTTCGTCATGCATTATTTATGTTTAATTTTAAATAAAAAAATCAAATGATTTCTGATTGCAGGATGTATGATAAATGACTAAAATGTAAAGATCTCTATGATCCCCACAAAGTGGATCTAAATGGGATCCAAATCCTTATTCTCTCATCTTTATTGTGGAGGTTGATGCTGCTTTGGTGGTGTCTCTAATTCATGATTTTTTTTAGCCTTAATCACTCTCTATGATCTTGTCTCAGAGTGCAAAAGGTTAATCAAAGAGAATTGAAGTTGCAATTTGCATCATAATCATAGAGAGCATAATTTTGCAACCGACGGGTTAGCCAAGTTTAAATAATATAGCGAGATGAATTTTCAAGAGCTTGCAGAGACTCCTCATTGTTTAGTTTAAACTCTTTGTTATGGCTGCTCTTGAACCGCTAGAGTTAGACTAGTTGTTCATGTGTTTATTTTCTCTTTTTCTTCCACATTACCATAAAAATAAAAATAAATTAAAAAAAAACTACAATGAAGAAATCATACTCTTGTATTTTAAAATTGATATATTCAATCAAGATTTAGTTTAATTTAAAAAGTGAACGATTCATAGTGTATATTAAGTTTTAACAAATTATGTTTTTTCCCTTGAGATTTTGGAGAAATTTACTTGAAACTCATACGAAAATTAAGAAAATCCATTAAAACTCCATCAAACTTTATAAATTTGTAACTCTTAAAAAATTACAGAGGTTAAAAGAAAGTTTGATAGAATAGAGAGAGATCACAAGATTTTCGTGCACATCCCACTCCATTCCCATTTGTTTTGGTGAGGCCTTGAGGGACCCAATAGGCCAGTAGGTCCATCTACATTGAATATTCAACCTCCTCTTATCAAAGTTATCTTGTTTTAAAGAGATAAAAGGCCATGCAACCATGTCCACAAACTTGGAATATCAGAAGGATAATAGAGAACGAGATATCTTGCATAGCTTTGAGACTTTGGAGTGAGAGAGCAGAAGGTGCTCTGCTTGAGAGCTCCCAGAAATGAAAATGTCTACACTGAGCTCCCAATTCCACCTCCTAAAATACCCCGTCAAATATCCTTCATATCCATCCTCAAACCCTAACTCATTTCTCATCCCCGTCTCCCTACCAAAACACCCTCAACATCCAACCATATTATCATCTCTCCCTTCCGAAGCCACAAGCAATAGTCCTCCACCAACAAGAGCATCTGCTACAAAATCCAAGTTATATAGTGTAACGCTCGTCCGGAAAGAGTCTGTCAACGATACTTCCACCCCAATAAACTCTAGTGGAAACAACGCGTCAAGGTTTTGGATAATGGGAGCTGTTTCCGTAGGAGTTATGGCGGCGCTGATGGCGATGGATGAGCAGAAGGCAATGGCATTGGGCCCCGAAGGGCCGCTGATGGAAGAGTTTTGGGACAATGTACGGAGATATGGACTGTATGCTCTCACGGTGAGTACAGGTGCTCTGTACGCGACCTTCGCGCCTCTATACGAGTTGTTGAAGAACCCTATCTCTGCAGTTCTCGTTTTGGTAATATTAGGGGGAGGTATTTTCATCTTCTCCCAAGTGCTTTATGCCATGGTTGGTGTCTCAGATTTTAGTTATGATTATGGATATATCAATCCATGGATTCCTTCCATGTAAGTAAAGACTAATTAAGTAAAGAGATTACTACTTTTTGATCATGCCATCCTAGAGCAAGGAACTTTACTTCTATATATTACACTTGTGTATAGAAGCAAATGGGGAGCAATTTAAAGTTAAATTCTTCCTTGTACTTTTAAATATTATCCAAGTTTGGCAACTAGTAATTGTTGGCATTTTGCTATCTTTTTTTATTCAATTCCACAAGAATTCTCCATGCAAGATGTATGTTCTATATTAAGAAATGTTAGCGGTCATTGATAATGCATTGATATTGTCAAAAATGCATCAATAACATGTTGGTATACATTTTGTTAGGGACAACAAAATCAACACAATGTATTATTGTCCATGACATTGTTCAAGATGCATCAATAATATGTCGATGTACGTTTTTGTTGGTCATATAGTATCAACATATCGTCGATAACATCGACACCATGTACCGAAAAAACATTCATTTAATAGCCCGACTACAACTTCCACTTTCCAAACTTCAAACAATAGTTCATCCTTGCACACATATAGGCCAGAAAGCGAGTCTATACTTAAGAACCGAGTCATATGTTTTGATTGAGTTTGAACAAAAGATTTTATGTAGCTAGGCTAGCTTTGTGAGTTGATCAGCAGCAAACTACAGATGAAACGGATAAAGGGTAACGGAAACTGTTGGCATACTGGAAAGATAGGGTTTCTCCGGGGCCAAGAGCCTCACCATCATTGACCAGGCAGTCATCGTAGTCATTGCGCCTGAACACTCTGGGATTCACCAGGCGGGCGGAGCTAAACCATCCACATCTGACGTGAATGTCGGATATGCTGCAACCTGAAACGCAGGCGTTGAGAATCTGAACCGTGTAGGTTGGAATTCCATTGGGAAGTGGGGCTGTTTGGCCTTGGAATATTACTATGTCGTCCTTTGAGCATGACGTGCCGATACGATTCACGTCTCCTCCTGGTCCTCCATCACCACCCTCGTCTGCATCAAGTAATTTTATGCAAATTTTATCTGTCATTTCCTCTCCAATGTGATGATTGTACAAAGAGTTCTTATAAAGCCGAAATTCCCACCTTAACCTAATTTAGAATAAGCCATGAATGATTATTTTGTGTGAACTATATGTAGTTGTTGGGTATGACTTAAACAGCCTCTCTTAGTGATCTCATACTTAGTTGTTCAGGTGCTAAAAATCTAGGTTTTCAACTTGAGATTCACTTACTTTTTCATTTATTGTGTATTAGTTAATGATAATTGTTTCTTACACATATCATTCCATTTCTTTTCTTTTTAAAGAAGAAGAAACGATAAACACAGGTCCATTTTTGTTAAGTAAACATGCAAGTGATATTGCACACAAGGGTACAAATACAAACTTTTGGATCCATGAGTAAATGCTCAATTATGTTAAAAAAATAGTTTAATATGAATAAACTAGCTTTAGTCTAAGTCTAACATTACTTCTCTGCTTAGTAATTAAAAATATATCATTTATTCAAAATAAAATAAAAAATAAAAAAAATCTCATAGTTTGGTATGAATTGTGAAGTAGTATTATAAAATTATTATAATGGGCCAATGACTGAGCATTGTATGGGCCTCCTTTGCCCAAAAATCAATGAAGGGTCTCGACCCATGGTAATTTTGGACACGTCCATCACATTCTAAGACTGCATAAATTATGCCGGGTCAGAAATGAATCTGAAGGTCCACAGAACCACAGCCCATATGACCTATATTTGATAAGGCCCAATCATGTCGAACCAAATTGATGTCAAGCTTTCTGATTTACTGATTTTACTGCATTGACATCGAGAAAGTTTCCGCTTCCAATGTATTATGACAGGCATATTAATGACCATGCAAAACTCGATGAGTAACGTGGAGTAAAATACACACACACACACACACACACACAAAATAAACAGTATTTAGCAAAGTTCCCTTTTAACTGATGTGGATGTTGAAAATTGAATTATGATTGAAGTGTTTATTAACATGCTTATTTCTTATTGGTGAAACATCATTTGGTTTGTCAATTTAATTTAAAATTTTTGATCTCTCTAATATTATCTATTATCTATTATAACATGAGTGGTGTACCGTCTTGTATTATCAGTACAAGCGTGGAGAAAGGGGTTTATAATTACCACCTGACTGCTGCAGCTTCCGGCCCAGGCCTGTAGTGTGGTTTTCATTGGAAAAGACCTGCCTATTAATGCCAGCTGCTGCTTCCCCAACACTTCCCAAATGAATTAACTCCACAGCTGCAATTCAATAAATACGTACATGTTAATCAAAACCTCTAATTAGTAATTAATATTTCAAAAAATATTAGAAAACACTTGCTTTAGAAAGCCAATTAAGGTAATGCTAGAGAAATCAAAATTTTAAAGTATTTTTTGTAGATCACATGATGTGGTCTATAAAAGATGCGTAAAAATTTGATCTCCTAAACAATTTCCAGTGAACTAAGGCTGGTACGCACGCAGTATTTAATTAACTATTTGGTTGATATTTTTATGAATATGTAAAATTAAGACATGCAAGTAAATAACTAGCTAGATTAATGGAATGGATCATGAAGAAAGTGATGGAGTAGAAATAAAGTATCTATGAATGAGCTTAAACAATTATATCCCTTAAACAAATGAACAGTACAAATAGATCCATCGTTATTACTATATCAAGGCAGGCAGGCAGGCAGGTATGCATGGTCAAATTAATATATATTATCGATCTGGAAACTAATGTAATTAGTTTTCATAACAGAATCAGGATATTAAGGGTAAAGGGTTAGATCGATCCATGCATGATGCATGTGGGGAAGGACGAACTTAAGTTGTAGTACGTAGTAGGTATACCGAAGAACAAAGCAACCACAGAATTAGATATGCAAAGTTTCCTGCAGCCATTGTCGACGGTTCTCAGTAGTACGCCTCCTCTCATCACGGTTGATCAGTTGCTTCGAAATATTGTGCCTCAAAATAATATATATATAACTGCACTTCACTAACTACCAATTTATCAGCTGTATGCACTGTAATTATATGTATATATACATATATATCATCAGAAAGAATCAAAACAGTCTCAGAAAATTATTTCATAGAAAAATAGTGAAGCGAAAAGGACTAACCAGGTATTTGAACCTTGCTCTTCTGAGAGACGGTCACTGTGCTTTTCAGCGGGATTACTTCAAGACTCAAGAGGTAGATATATTTAAGATGATATATATATATATACATGAAAAGATGGTGGGAGAGGGAGAGAGAGAGGGCGCTTGAACTGTTGAACACATGAACTTATAATTACCTCGTTCAAAAAAAAAAATTACGGATAATACTTAATTGGACTTCAATATACAATTTAATACACAACTAACATTGCTTTTGGGGTTTTGCATGGGAAATGTTGACTGGTTGACTGCAGCGCCTACCTATGCCCCAATCAATTTCTTTTCTCCAGATTCCAGCAGCACTAGCAGGGATGGAAAGACTTTCCGGATCCTTTCTACCTAATCTATCAAATCAGGAGGATCTGCGCGTTGAAATTTGATCCAATAACTAAAGTTATTATAACTTTGAAAGTAGCTCGTGTTTGTAGCTATTTGATTAAATTTCAACGGCATGAATTTCATGATACAGTGAACTAGGAAAAAGAGATTTGGAGAGTATGCCTTTCCAGAAGGGACTGCACACGGCCGGGTTTGAAAAGTTGGAAATTAAGAAAAGAAAGATTAAATAAACAATAGAAAGAAAACTGGGTACTTGATCCGGAAACACACACATATATATATATATATATATATAAAGATAATGTAAGTGAGAATAAATTTTTAAATCAAATGATGTGTTATCAACAAAAAATAAGTATGTTAGTTAACACTTATCATAAACAATTATATCATTTGGTTTACAAAACTGATTTAAAATTTTTGATCTTACTAGCATTACCCAGTAATTAAGAGACATATATGGCGTACATATGGTTACATGTGCATGAATTATGTACACACAAATGTTCTTTAGTTTACATTACTTTCGAATTTGGACCATAAGATTTGTTACCTAAAGCTAACTAACTAGGTGACCATATTCTCATCTAAAGTTAAGTCCAACAAACCTTTAGGAAACCGGCAGCAAAATCAGGAATTAAGTTCACATCAAAATGATTAACCCACTGAGCTATAGTTTTAAGTCCTTCTTACTCTTCTTATTAGCTTTAGAGTAATAATATATTGTTTGTACTAAAAAATTAATAGATTGTGTGGTTATTTCTTTTTCGATCTCTTTCTTTTTCTCTTAATTAACCCAGGTATATATATCATGATCCAGCTTATTATTTTCGATCCATCTTCTTTCTTGACCAACCAGTTAGGGTTTAGTACTTTACGTACCAAATGATCAAATACTGGGTTATGGTTATGCAGTAAAAACATTCCTGATGACCCAGCTAGCTCCTCGATCGTTAAATGTTTTTACTGGTTCTAAAGTAGTTGTGCACGTACACGAATTTGTAAATGTACAATAATGATGGACATCAGCCTTTATATTTCCCAAGGAATTGAACCCGATGCAACTTCATTAAGGCAAATTGATAGATTAAGAGGGTGTATTCAATTGAGAATGTGAGAGATTTTAATGGATTTATAAATCCGTGAATTTTTATGGAGTTTAATTGATTTGTAGAGATTCCATATAAAATTTTGATTCAATTCCCTCGAAATCTCATGGGAAGAGGTGAGATTTGTGGATACTTAAAATACATTGCGAAATCTCTTAAATTCCCTCTAATTCTTCAACTTTCTCAAATTCTTTAAAATCAATTTCTAATTGAATACACATGAAATGTTATAAACTTCTTTAAAATCCTAATTGAATACATCTGGATTTCTAAGGATTTTAATAAACTATTTTAAAATTCTAATTGAATACAGCTAGAATTTCAGAGAATCACTTAAAATCTTAATTGAATACCCTAGAATTATTAATTTCCTGAAACTCTCTCTCTCTCTCTCTCTCTCTTTCAGAATTCTAATTGAATACTCTGTCTTGAGTTGCGTTGAGTTGGCAACTGTTGTCCTCCTTCCCCCGATTTGCAAATCTTAAAGAATTTGGTTTTAGGTGGGTAAGACGATTTCGTCCTCCCCAGTCCCTCCCCAGTCGAAGCCGTTCCTTCCCCTCTCTCGCCGATCTGCTTTTCTCCTTGATTTATTTGGTGTTGTCAACAATTTGGCAATCAGAATATCAACTTTTGTCAGCTAAGTGATCCAGGTACAGAATTTTTTTTATTTTTCCTCTCTTGTGGCTGTTCATATTTGATAATTAATTCTTGTTTATGTTATATTGTATCATAATTAATCATCATGCTATTGCTATTGTTAAAAACCAATCAAACCCATCAATTCAAATCTCAATGTTGGGAGGGAGGGAATTAGGAAACAATCAAGCTTGTCCATACCCTACTGGTACAGGGAACCCAAAAAAAAAAAAAAAAAAAAAAAAGGAATCCAAGCCCTGCTCGGAGGGAATTAGGAAAACAAAGAATACACACAGACAGATAGCATAGCACATACCTAGGAGTCTGGGACTGGGAGGGAACTAGTTCAAGTTCTAGCCCTTATTTTAAGTTTATTTTTTGCTCCATTTTTAATTTTAATTTTACGTTTTTTCAACAACGGCAGGCGATAAAGTGGTGGTGGGGTGTCAACTGATTGGTATATATTTCTCAGGTCTTGTCTCTTGATGGCTGACTGGGCGGGTCTTCCTCGAGAGCTTATCTTGTCTTTAGCTGAACGTATGGGTTCCTTGGAGGAGTTCATTGTTTTTGGTGCAGTTTGTAAATCGTGGAGATCAGTTGCGACCAAAGAAAACTACTTCACTTGTGAATTAGGACCGAAACATCAAGTCCCACTCCTTATTCTTCCACAGGAGAAGGGTGCTGCCACCCGCAAGTGTTACAACCTGAAGAAACGTAAGATTTGCCAACTAAATCTGTCCGAACTTGAGGACAAGCTTTTCCTCTCTTCTTTGGGATGGCTGCTGACCGTATCTAAAAAAGATTTGAAATTTTGTTTGATACATCCTCTAAATCATGCCCGGATTGAGCTGCCATGTCCGGTGCCTAATATGGCACCCAGCTTGTTGTCCAATTTTTCCATAAGGAAGTTTGTCTTATCAACCAGCCCGTCTTGGACCTCAAATTTCATCGTCATGGTTTATCAGTCTCAAACTGTGTCATTTTGCAGACCAGGACACAGTGAACATTGGATAAGTGTATGTCTGCACACACCAGGAATATTAAATGATCTAACTTATTATGAGGGACAACTTTATGCCGTGAACTATTATGGTCATGTTTTTATTTGTGATATTGAAGATCCTAAGCAAGCAGAAGTAAGGATTGTTGCTCCACAATTTCCAAAGGAATATTTGGGTCCTATGATGCAAATTAAAGTAGCTTATCTGGTGGAATCAGCCAGGGACCTGTTGGTGGTTTTGTGCTTTTTCAACCCGAAGACAAAGTTCCATGCAACTACCGGCTGCAGAGTTTTCAAGGTCCCATTTAGTGACGGCAGTTCATGGTTGGACTCGGAGGTAAAGAATCTGGGTAATAGATCCCTGTTCTTGTGCAGAAATGCTTCTTCTTTCTCTGTTGAGGCCTCCGACTGTTCTGGATGGAAGCCGAATTGCATTTACTTCATGAATAACAAGCGTGCTTCTCTAAGAGTAGATATGGACATGGGTATCTTTAATATGGATGATGGACAAATCGAGCGGCCCTTTGATAATTCCTTTAATATCTGTTATAAAGGAAGGAATTATGAAACATCACATTTGTGGATTGAACCAAGTTTCTAAATAGGATGTGCTAGCTCGCTTCTTGTCCATCATCTTTTATTTATACTCAGGGCGCATATGGATTGCACCAAAGCGTATTCTGTTTTTCCATTTGTTTTATTTATACTCAGGGCACATATGAATTGAATGATTTACCAGATTTCATTCAGATAATCAGATTCTTTTATGGAAGCTCAGAGTTGTCTAATGAAACTTATTTTTCAAGTCTTTTGTTGAAAGTATATGCTGACTTATGCCTTATAACCGATAATCTTGAATGGCATTCAATTAGTAGTACTTTGTGGAGTGGTGACTTTTCAAGTCATAGTTTTACTTTGATCTTATTGTATGTTTTTGGTGATCTAAGTGGTTTGTGATTTTTTGGAATTTATGTCCCTTGTTATTTGGCTTCCCTAAACATATCCATGGTGCTTCTTATTGCATGGGTTGATCGCCTCATTGGCAAAGACCATCTTTTCAAACGTAATAGCATACTAATTAAGGCAAAGTGCTATTATGGGAGCCGAATTCTTGGTGCCATCATGTTTTGATTTCAACATATGCTTTGGAGACTTTGGTTCTGTATATTTTCCATCTCATCCATTCATCTTTGAATGGTCCTCTAGCGGTTAGTGCTTTAACGATTTAGCACTAGTAAACTAAACCGAATCAAATTTGTTTGTTTTTTATTTTTCTGCTTGGTTGATGAGAAATGATGAAAAAGTTGGTACTGAAATCTGTGTGAATTAGTGTATCTTGATTGGCACTTTGATGAAATTTGATCTGACAATACATGTTGCAGTGGAGTAGAACCACATGCTTGAAGAGGAAGGGGAATGACCATAATGGATATAGCAATCAATAGGCTTATAAGATGTTGAGGGTATCCGCCAACAGGAAAAGCAAATCTAATGCATCCCATGCCGATCGACGAACAGTTCTTGTGGGTTACATTGGACCTCCATGAGAAGTGAAGCTATACAGGCAGCAGGCAAGCCTTTAATCTTGTGCTTGTGGCCGTTCTCAGCTCCTTGGGGTTCTTAGGTTTTGTCTTATATACAACATTCGATTATGTAACAAGTAGAAATGTCTTCTACAAACTGGTTTCTTCTTTCCACAGGTATTGAATTATGTGTACAAATTAGAGCTTGAGCATCTAAAATTGATATTGCTTTCCGGACAAAATAACACACTATTTCTGGAACTATTGTAAAATAACCCACACTATTTCTGTAACTATAGCAAAATAATACACACTATTTCTGAAACTGAACCAAAATAATTGAAATGTCATTCTCCACTCACTATTTTTTTTTAAATGGTTATGTCTGAAACTGGACATGGGTACTATTTCTGAAACTAAACATAGATACTACACTATTTCTTAAATAGACTATTTCTGAAATTAAACACGGATAGTACACTATTTCTTAAATTGAATACCACTATTTTTGAAAACTAAACACGAGTACTATCACTATTTGTTAAATTGAACATTGACTATTTATGAAACTAACACGGGTACTACACTATTTAAAAAACTGACACGGATACTACACTATTTATTAAACTGACTGACTATTTATGAAACTAACACGGGGTACTACACTATTTATTAAATTGACTGACTATTTATGAAACTGACACATGTACTACACTATTTATTAAACTGACATAGTCAGTATTCAGTTTAAGAAATAGTGATAGTATCAGCGTTTAGATTAAGAAATAGTTAGTGTTCAGTTTAAGAAATAATCATCATTCAATTTAAGAAATAGTCAATGTTCAGTTTAAGAAATAGTGATAGCATCGGTGTTCAGTTTAAGAAATAGTGGTGGTATTCGTATTCAATTTAATAAATAGTCAGTGTTCAATTTAAGAAATAGTAATAGTATCAGTATTCAATTTAAGAAATAGTGATAGTATCAGTGTTCAGTTTAAGAAATAGTGATAGTATTAGCGTTCAGATTAAGAAATAGTCAGCATTCAGTTTAAGAAATAGTCAATATTCAGTTTAAGAAATAGTGGTAGTATCGGTGTTCAGTTTAAACAATAGGGATAGTATTCGTGTTCAGTTTAATAAATAGTCAGTGTCAAATTTAAGAAATAGTGATAGTATCAATATTCAGTTTAAGAAATAGTGATAATATCAGCGTTTAGTTTAAGAAATTTGTAGTGTTCAATTTAAGAAATTGATAGTGTTCAGTTTAAGAAATAGTGATAGTATTCATGTTCAGTTTAATAAATAGTCAATATCCAATTTAAGAAATTGGTAGTGTTCAGTTGAAGAAATTGTCAGTGTTCAGTTTAAGAAATAGTCAGTGTTCAATTTGATAAATAATAATAGTATTAGTGTTCTGTTTAAGAAATAGTGATAATATCAGTGTTCAATTTAAAAAATAATGATAGTATCTGTGTTCAATTTGAGAAATAGTGATAGTATCAATGTTTAGTTTAAAAAATAGTAATACTACTATTTGTGTTCAATTTGTGTTCAGTTTGTCATGCTACTTTGAACTTTAGATTGAAACATGACTTTTCAAAGATGTCATGTTTGTCCTGAATCCAACAGAGGAAGGGAAAAATGAGAGTACATAAATCATTTCTATATTTATAATCATTTGTAACGGCTCGTTTGTACAAATAATAAATAAATAAAAAAGATGGTTTGGATGTCTCTGATCAATTAAACACGGTACATTAGTCGAAAAAATGGATATAGGTACATGTAAGCAAGCAGCAGGCGCACTGAAAGTAGCAAAACCAGAGGGAGAGAGAAACAAATTCAAAGCCGTCACCAAATCATTACGATGTTCAACCTAGCTGCTGCCAAATGTTGGCATAGCCGATGATGCTCCTTCTCCGGATGCACTCCCCGGACATTCCATATGCTTTTGCGAATGGTCATTGAGGATGCAAACCGCAGGCCTCATCAAAAGTACCCTCAGATGAGGTTCTTTCTGCATTGGACACCAAATTCTTAACCATGTACATAATCATATTTGAAAAGGATCTTGTTGAATTAAAAATATTCAAAAATAGCATAACCTCCATAATTTACTCTTACGGGTAATTCAACAAATTGGGTTTCGCATTGATCATAAATACACTAAATTTCATACCAATTTGAAATCTACACAACAAACAATACAGATTATAGTTTCCTATGACACAATAAGCATCTTACATCACTACAACAACTAAAACGCATTAAATTGATAATATCATGAATTCGAACAACGAAAAAGGAAATCGAATTCGGTTACTTGCCAACCTCTTCGCTAACTTCCTTCAAATCACCCTTTCTGAAAATCAGACCGACGTTGCTCTAAATCCCAAAAACAACAACAAATCATGGAGGTTTCGATTTTTTGGTACGGTGTGAAGAGGTTGGTGAACATTAATGGCATTGAAGGGATGATGAATTTTAGTAACTGCAACTTGGCTAACGGGCCTGGTTTAGGCTCTGTTAGGGGCAATTTTGGAATATTAATTGTTATGTGGTTTGGGCTTTTTGTTGAGCCCGTGTGTTTTAGTTTTTGTAGGGCCTGAGATAAAAGTTTTGTGTTCTTATGATTAAAATTTAAACCTTTTTTATTAAATAATAGTTTAGGGTAGTTTTTCATTAAATAAAACTTTACCCAAGCTCTTTTCGTTAAAACTCCCTTAAAAATTTGGTCTCTTATGACTAAAGCTAGGTGATACTTACATATATATATATATATATATATATATATATATATATATATATATATATATATATATATATATATATGAATCATGTCTCTTGAGTTTGATTTCGATAACACTACTACAACTACACTAGTATGAGTTCAAATATTTGATCAATCAAATATACACATAAAACAACAAGAAATAGATTAACGAAACTTTGAACGTAAAAGTGAGGTGGTTCACCGATTCCGGAGGCTCGCCGGTGACTAGAGCTGAGAGGCCTGCCTTTAGCTCCATTTCTCTGTTCGGGTTGACTTCTGAATTTGACCCAGAGAAAGCAGAGAGAGCGTATGGAGAAATGAGCAAAATAATTCGACTTCGGTGCTTCTTTTACTGCCGTTTCATTGCTTTTCTCATCATTTCCTAGTGGCGCGATTTGTTCGGTAACGCACAAAAGGACAAAAGGGAAGGAAGGGAAGGCCGGCCTCGGGAGGAGGGAATTATATTCAATATTTTCTTTTTTTTTTATTTGAGAAGAGGAATTATATTCAATATCAACTATCAAAACCAACCAGAATACTCGTCCGTCCTGGAAAAATGAAATGGAAGCAACAATTAACAAGGAAACCAGACAGAAACATAAGCGAGTCATGAAAGAAGAAATGAAAAACAAATTCAGAGCAGAGCACAAAAAGAGAATATCTGTTAGTTGTTAGCGACAGTACAAGGACTCCAATGTGACTATCCCACCTCATTTGTTTTTTCAACGTTTTTCACAAACAAAAAATTCCTTACGACCAATTAGTAAGTATTATAATGTTTGTACGACACTAGCTTCTCTTATTCACTCAAAATTATTGAATGTTGTCATGTGCATTATACTGATGTTATGGGAACATGATTGCAGAGAGTCCAACTCCAACTCCAACTCCACTTGTTCGTATATGCCATGACCTCATGCATTCTTCGAACCACCCTATAAATGACATGACAACTTTTCTACGAAACATCAGGACAATCGGTAAGGTCCGTAGGTTCACCACAGAACATGGTTCTCAACAATGTCTCCACCTGGTGGATTGTTCGTAGCTTCATATACTCTAATAAACCAAAGAAAATGTGTTCTCAAACTCAAATTACCTAATTCCATCTACAACTGCAAGAGACCGAAAGTGGGGTAAAGAACCCTGATACAGTGACAGGACCTGATGTTCATATCCCCAACTAACATATGAAACAGAGAAGTTGGGCTCTACAAACCATTTCATCTCAGAAGCAAGAGATGATACATAAACAGGTCATTGCTACATGCATAACCATTATACATATGCTCCATTTGGATGGTGTCAAATTGCAATACAACAAAAACTAGAAAGTATCTTGGGTTGCAATACCGAAACGAAAAAGAAAATCAGTCTTACACAGTAATCTCTACTTGTCGAGTCCTTCAGTTGTCAATAAATACACAAACAACATAGAAGATGCTTACCCAAAAGCAACAAAAATTTCAACTTTGTTAACCTTAGCATGCTAATCAACCAAATTTCAAATACCCAATAATAAAATGCTGAAATTATTGACAACCCCATCAGAGATTTCACAATTCTAATTTAGGGTCCGTTTAATTTCCAAGGATTTGGCATTGCAGTGGAACCTGATTCCTTGCAACGCCGAATCCAAATGCGCCCCAATATATTGGGGCAGAGCTCAAAATTTTCAAATTTCATATAGCAGATGGTTTTGAAGGAAGTCTACTCACCCAAGATACCTCCTTTCAATCTCAGCGGCGGCGATGGGAAGCCTGAAGCTGCTCAAAAGGGATAGTTCTCGCGGAAAAGCCCTAACCCAATAAATTGCGATTCCGCTCTGGCTCTCTCTCCCTTTGTGCTCATACAACTAAGGAGGACCACCGCTCATGACTGTCATATGATACGGAGATGGTCGGCAGAGGACGACGCTCTGCAACCGCAGCCTCAGTTGTAGATTTCGGGTTCCTCCACTGCTTTAGCATCTTATGGATGGTGTAAAACTGAGTGTCGCTTAGCGCCCAAAAATAGAAAAAAGAAAATGTTCCAAAAAAAAAAAAAAAAAGAATAAATGCACTGCACATGTTTTTTTTTTTTTTTTTAAGTTTTTTTTCCTTTTTGCCTTTTCAAATTATGAAAGGAAATAATCAAATTAAATGCAATTTGATCCTTTGCATTTTTAAAAGGGTAAATGAATAATTTAAACTATATATTAATAAAACATGTTTGTCAATCATGTCACTCTATCAATACCTAAACTCACTCTCTCTCTCTCTCTCATTTGCACTCACGTCTATTTTTTTCCCACTTTTTCAAACTTCTCCAATCCACTAATTTTTTTACAGATTAAATTTAGGCCTTTTTAAAATTTTGAATCAAACACATAGTGTGTGTACTGTATCAAGTGATTAAAAGAAATAACAATCATAGTTAAGTGTAAATAATATCATTTTGTTAAAAAAAAAATCATAGTTTAGCGTTATAAAATAAGTGAGATAGAATTTTCTTAGTTCAAATGCTCATAGGCGCATAAAATAATTTGAATACATTCTTAATTTAGTTTATACACATATACAAGTAAAATCCATTTCTTTTTTTATATGTTCAACCATGACAATATTTCAAATCCTTCTCTATACTCACAGCCGTTACATACACTCCAGTCCATCCCTTAAAAGGTTTTCTAAACTCTTCCCAAGCCATCAAGTTAGATTACATAGTTTCTTTGTTGAATTACGAATCTATCTTTTTCTCAATTAAATCAATAATGTAGGTATCAACGGTGTTGAATTATGAATCAAAAGTTTTAAAATCCTTATCTTGATATTTCATTATTTCTCAAATCCTTCTCCATATACACAACTATATATCCAACTCCATCCCCAAAAGGTTTACCTCTTCCCAAGTTATCAAGTAAGGTTTCTTTTATTATTTTTTTATTTTATTATGAATGTGTTAGCCTTAAAAATTACAAAGCCTACATGGCGTACAGGGCAAGTAATTAAGTTAAATAAGTCCTTCTTGTGAATGCGGGTTTGCCAACTCGCAATAGAGCTCGGTCAGGAGAGTAGAATTGAGGTGGTAGTGGTGTCGAATACGCTCAAAGGAAGGAACACATCTCGTCCCTTGGTTCTAGAACTTGAAGATGAGGTTACTTGATCACTACGAAATTCAATAATTGGTTCGGTTTTCATTGTGCCGAACAATGAGTAACTGGGTATTGCCTTACTTCCCATAAGCTGATGAGATTACCTCTTGAGACTAAAGAATAGAGAATTCTTCGTCCATCAATACTAGATAACCAACCAACTAGTTGCAATGATGTTCACTAATCTGAATTGATGTTATCAGATCTTGCGGAATACAAGCTCTGTGGCGATCCACCAAAAAAATTTATGAGTCTTATCATTTTTGTCTTTAGGTTTATGCTTCTTATTGTCCTATCTGTTAACTTGAGTTCAAGAAGTTGGAGTTTTAGTTTTCGTTTATAAAAAAGCTTGGTAAATTTAAGTATACCATATACTAGAGGTCTGAAATTCGGGAGTGAATAGAGTAAACAGAAAGGTTTCAATTAAGCCCACTCGATATAAATGTATATACCCCATGCCCACACAGAGGCAGATACATGTTTTAATAACTTTAAAAACTTCAACGAAGTGGGACATAACTTTAAAAAAACTTCAAAGAAGTGCGATGTTTATTTAATGTGTAAGCCATCGATATTTTTCTTTTGTTACTCGGTGGTATTGTTCATCCTTGTTATGCTTCTCTTTCAAAATCTTGTTGTAATAGAAACTAAATGCTACTTGTGCTAGCGAGTTTAGTAGGCTTTGATATCTAATTATCTGATCTGGGTGTTCCATTGCATGCGTTTAAATTTTCTCTCATTGAAATTTACTGAGGAACTTGGCCATACTTTTCACAAATAAATTCAGGGCGTTGAGCTACAGCTTAAGCATGTTCATGCTGTTGGTATCTATGGATGGGGCAGTGTATGTGAGACAATTATTGGAGAGTGGCTAGAAGAGATTTCTCAAAATCAGGTTTTAGTGGCTTTATCCTTATGGAGTTACTAGTATACGCGTGATTTGCAATATATTTCTCATCCCCCTCTCGCACCTTTCTTTTTCCTTCCTTTCAGTATTCACGAATTGGGCGAGAGGAACTTTGTTGAGTTGGAACTGTCTTACAGACCCTTCAGAACCTGGAAAGGTCTTAAAGGCCAACGTCAAAGAAACTTAAGAGGCATACGGATCCAAAGATGTTAGCTTTCGAGAACTATTTCTTAGATGGTTTTCTGCTGCAATTGAATTTGATTGACACTTGTATCACTAGTTGAGAACACGAAGAATACGAAGAAATTTGGCTTGTTATAGGTTCCGTACCAGATTGATCTCTTGTATGGTTATAAATCAGTTTTAAATTTTGTAAAGATTGTAAATGCTCTAACCAGTTTGGACCTTGTTTCCCATACATATTTGTAACACCTCTAGTCCACCGTTATGGGAAGTTGCGTTATCTTCTCTTTTGGTTCTTTGCATTACAAAGACGTTTTTAGTGGTGTTCAATAGAAACAAGGAAAGGGCTTCTCAATTATGTGTACCATTTCGTAGGCTCTTATCTAGAAAGCACTTAAATTGGATGTGCGTTTTTTAGAATCACTCAGGATTTGAATATATATTAGTTGTTCTTTTAGTAAAAGCGCTTATAACTGCTTAACTATATAAATAGGAAAAGTGCTTCTGAATTCTATGAACATAGTAGGCTCTTCTCTAGAAAGCACTTAGAAGTGTACAATTTCAGAATCACTTGGATTTGAATAAAAATTGGTTGTTCTTTTAGTAAAGGGCTTCTAGCAAAACTGCTTAATTATAGAAGCAATTTCTACATAAACACTCCTAAATGATAATGTTGTTGTGACCTAAGTCTAGAAACGGAAAGCGAGATGGTGTGGCATAGAGAGGAGAAAGGCTTGAGGAATGTTGTGATAATATTTCTCATGCCTAGTGCCTTTGCTTATAGTAATGAGGAGAGAATAACTTGCTCTTCATGTAATACAAAGTCTAATAGGAAATATCTTTTAATTCCCGAATGATTCCTAACTTATCTCTAATTAGGATTTACACAATCACATTATATGAAATATTAGTTACAACACTCCCCCTTGAGTGTGTAAATAATCAAGCAGTAGACGCATCAAATCTTCAGGCAAATATTGAAGTAGTTGATGAAGTCGTTTTGTAGGCATAATGAGCGAATGCAAGTCTAAAAAACAAATGGAAGAATGCATAAGGAGAAACTCGTAAAACCTCGCCATCGTAAATGGCCGCCACTTGGCCCTTGTGGTAGACAAAGATCCACCGTTGGATCGTCATATGAAATTATAATATTTTGTAGTGGAATTATTACGAGATATTAGGAATTTACGGTTAAAAATCCGATGTGTGGATCTTTCGAATTGGATTACATAGGATGGTTGACCCTACTGTCACCCATGTCGACCGATGGTTGACTTTTGGTCAACATGTCCTGAATCGTTCTTAAATACTGAAATTAGCATTATTAGAGACTCGATAAAGCCTACTGAGCGTACTTTATTTGGCGTGCCATCCTATGGAAAGCACACCTCCGTTTGCGTGTAAGTGATGCCTTATCGAAGATTCACGTGGTTATGGGGCTTCTATATGTGAGTGATCTTAATACATGTGGTATGGTTATTGGGCTTCTACATGTGAGTGATCCAAATGTTTCTCACATTTGATAATAAATTCTTGGGGTCTTACAGTTATTCCGGACATTTCTTGTTTGCAGATGACTTGTTTTTAAAGTTATTCCACACATTTCAACTCCCCAATACGCTTAAAAGATTTTTTTTTGGACATTTTAACTGTTTTATCGACATGATTGACTACGTTGAATTCTAAAAAAATTGCAACTAACTAAACTTCACGTCACTGAGCCTAATATACTTTTTTTCATTATCTTACTTAAAACTTTTGAAACGAACGCAATATGGTTTTTTTTATTAGCCAAAGTTCTTAACTTCGTACCATAGAGAACTTGTGAAACATAGGTAAGAAAACTAAAATCAAAATTTATTTCCTCACCCCTTAAGAAAAATATATCTTTGTATTAAAAAATTTAAAATAGAAATAAACTGGTGAAAAAGAATAATTTGGAAATTGATATAACAAATCATTTAAAATTTTAATTTATAAGGTAAATTGAAAAAGACTATAAGTTTGTATCACATTTAAAGAAGGGATATTAAAAAAGTTAAAATAATAAAATAATTTTCCAACAAAAACTCTTTGTGCCTTTATATCTCAACAGCTTTTCTCCGAACCGATTTTCAACTTGGTAGTTTGAACAAGGGAAGACAAACTCTTTATCTTTATCCTAAATTATAATATAAATACTACCATTTCATGCTATTTTCATCTAATATTTTTTCACAATATTTTGCATTGCGACCCTCAGAGTTAAATCCCGAATCCGTCACTGTTTCCTTAAAGAGCATGTGTGTGTGTATATTTACGTACATATGCATGCAGCTGTGAGCTGTGATGGATTTCTTTTCAACTGAAATACGAGCAAGCATCAAGCATGCATTGTATAATTTATGCGTGAGAGAGGAATTGAAAAGGTAAGTTAAAAGAGGGGGTCGCCCGTCAGAGAGTGAGCCGCCAAAAAGCAGAGAGCAGGCGAAAGCTGCTGCTGCGTGGGCTGGCTTTTCAAAAGCGCCGTAAATTGCTCGGATGTCTCCCCGACCGTACCCTCTTCATAAGTTCATATATAATAAGTTAATATATTGTGCACTGCCAGATAAACTAGAAAAAGTAAAGATCATGCGTGCATTTTGATTACATGGGGACTTGCTTCCTATGCGACTGCTGCCCATTTTGGCTCTTCTCTTTTGGCTCAGTTGTTTGGAGTTGGTTTATTTCTCTTCCTTGCATTGGGGTTGAGTTTGTTGGTTAGACCCTTGTTTCATCTGCCTTATATATATATATTTTCTTTTGTAGTTAGAATTTTATATATTCATTCATTTACCACAAAAGGATCATACATTTTAATTATAAAAAAAAAAAGTAAATTAAAAATCATGTGCACTCACCTGGGGTGGGTTCGGTAATTTTTTTTTTTAAGCAACGGCAGCAGTTTTTCATTGATAATAAGTAACCAGTTAGGCCGGCAGGGTAAAGCTGCCAGTCATCACATTCAGACGAGATTAAAAAAAATGCATGCATGATCTTTACTTTTTCTAGGCTAGCTATAAAACTTAACTTGAACCATCAAAGACAAAAACTCAACCGGCAGTCACCGATATATTATATATACATGACTGCATTCGCATTTATGCAGCAAAAGCATTCAAATGTAAAGTAAGTACCTGTAGAAATTTCCACAAGTATCGATCACGAGGTTGGGAATCTCACCTGCCGTGCTATTTTGATAAGTATTGCCAAAATCTCATCTTCCTTTTTTTCCATTTTGATAGAAATGGAATGTTGGCTTGCTGCAGCAAAATGGACACATAAAATCAGGTTTTGACATTTTTTGTATACAGTAAATTTCCGAGGTCAATCAATATTGTTCTACAACTTGTAAATGTGAATAAAAAGTAGAAACATTTTTGTGATCAGATTATGAATATTTGTGTTTAACTTCCTTTGCATTCTTCTTGAGCTATAAGCTCTGTTGCTGTAGGATTGCAAGATTGAATCTTGGAAGAAATTGGTTTAATTCCAGTTTTTTTTTAATTATTGGTTAATTAAATGGGTTTTAATTTAAATTAAATTCTGATTAATTAAAATGATGTGGTTGTCCACATCAGACGCTACATAAGGTGGTATATAAATGTGATATAAAAACATGGTAAGAATAGCATTATTGTTACCATTATATGTTGGGAATGTCGAATTATGTATTTTTCTAGCTAGTTTCGTGGAAAATTTGAATTTGCATCAAATTTGTTAAATTACCCTAATTTACGAAAAAAAAAAATTCAACTTTGGTGTAAGGAAGAGGGCATGCTATCCAAGCCAACTCATCTAGTTCACATATGCCTCGTCAAGCTACCTTTTTGAATGACTAATAGCTAACAATATAAGTTATGCACTAATAAAAGAAAAAAAAGGAGACATTTATTTTCTTCTAATAATTATATATGTGATTATAGGACACCATGGAATCGCCTCCATCTCAAATTAGAGTGGTGTGTCAAGCAATGCGGATCTTAGGGAAATAAATTTGGCATATACTGATTAATATCATTTATACATATGCATAAAATAAACTTTGATTCGGAAACAAGCAATCTGAAGTTCTGGCACAAACCAAACTTATCATCGACGTCACGTGTCAAATGTTTTGTGTGTTTGGAAGTTTTTTTTTTTAAATGATTGAAAATGCTGGAATCAATCTTATTAAAATGTAAGTAAATTATGGAAAAACAATTGGAGTACTTCATGCAAGAAACACTAGTTATATTATGTTTGAATGAGAGAAATAAACTTGGAATTTGGATTAAACTAGGAATTTATAATTAACATGCACATGTGCCAATTCCTTTGTTTGGATTCATAAACATAGAAATTTAAAACTTTCGCGTGAAAATTTTTTTAGAAATTGGGACCTCTAATTCTCAAGTTTAATTTTCATGTAAATATGTGTCATTTCCCAATTTATATGATTGAGAGTTTAAAAATAACATATTCTCTATTCAATTCCATTGTTTTTTTAGGTTAACCAAACAAGAAAATTTACAAATTCTAGGAAATAAAATTCACTGTAATAAGCCCATTAATTATGATAAATTCACCGTAAATAATTAACTCAATAAGAGAACCTAATTAGCGAAATTAAGGTAATGGAATCTTAGGTAGAAAGCCACTGAATATTATTGAGAAGATGATAATGTCACGCTAGGGTTGGTGCCTTAATACGCAACTCAATCATTCTTTGCTATATACTCATTTTAAGAAATAACAACTCAAGATAGGTTGTGTGGCATCCCAAATAGCCATCCATATGTACATAGATGTGTGTGTGTGTGTGTATATGTGTGTGTGTGTGTGTGTATATATATATGTATGATTGATGACTACATCTATATATCTCTTTATCTATTTACAATAAGAAATAAAATTCAAATTTTTGTACAAAGAAAATCTTATAAAAAATGGAAACTAAATTACTCACGCCAACGCGCCTAGCATATATATATGGAGGATAGGCGTACATAAACTTAATTTGCTGAAATTCAAGCACATAAACTTAAATCCTTGAATACTTGTCTCTCTCTCTCCTTTGGTTTGCGAGATCATCAGGAAAGAGAGTGAGAGAGAGAAAGAGAGAGAGAGAGAGAGAGAGAGAACATGGCTGCCTTGAATTGGCTTCTTAATTCAGCATGCCACGTTCTATTACACCCAATCAAGGACTCTAATATGGCGGGAAATCCAGGTAATCTTGATGGAGGTGATCACGGTGCGACTGCGATGGGGATGAGGAAGAAGGTGGTTTCTAATTGTTCATCAGGGTTTCAGATGCCTCTTCATTACCCTCGCTACACAAAGGTGGACTACGGGAAGATGGAGGAGTGGAAGATTGACCTGCTTCTCCGTCAATACGGGCTTGGTTTTGAGGGCAACCTTTATCAGAAGAGGGATTATGCAATGGGAGCTTTCTTGTGGCCTGATCAATGTTGATGACCTCAATAATCATCTCTCTAGCTAGCTAGATAGCTTGCTAGTTGGACACGTCACACATCGTAAGGGATCATAATTGGTTTATTTAACTATATGTGATGTGATGTGAGACGTGAGCGCATGCATGGCGTTTTATTATAGGGTTCCATTCTCTGTATAAAATAAGCATAAAGAGCCTAGTCATCATGTGAGAGTCTATCTATATGTAATGTTGATGCATTATTTTATGCGCTTCGGTGTGTGTATATGCAATTTGGTGGTATCTTGCACGTAGTTAATTACATTATGTATGGATGCAATCTAGTGATATACTAATTTATGTATGTAATATGGTAATTCCCCTACTAATTGAAACATTTAAGGTGGCTTTAGCTTATATGGTAATCAATTTCATGATTAATTTAGCTTACATGATAATTAGCATTATGCATATCCAAACCACAGCATCCCAGATCTTTCTTCCTTTCAAATTTTCAATTTTTTATTCTATCCTTGAACTTCAGTGTAGACTATAATCATGGCTAACTACTGGTAATACCATCACAAGGAAAAATAGATAAATAATATTTTGACTTTCCTTTGTTGTCAATACTAAACTTAAAATTTGAAACCGACCTCACAAAGAAATTTGAAAGAAGTAATCACGTTACAAATTCAAACTATGTGGTTGTGCGACTACACACACATAAAAAAAAAATCCCTCAAATCCCTTTTATCCCATTGATACACGTGAGAGTGACACCACATATACAACCGTTGTACACAAAATTTTCCTTGTGCAACTGGAGGTGTATTCAAATAATACATATACAATGAATTAAGGGTGCAACGACTGTATGGGGTGTCTAAAAATTCCTGGTCAAGCTTCTCATCTAGCTATAGCTTGCTTTTGTTAATCAACTTATGCCACAGAATCAGTGATGATCCCTCAAATTAGCTTGTATTTTGTTTTCCTTGATTTTCTTTTGAGAGCAAATATTAGTGGTTGACTAGAAATTTTTTAGCTTTTATTTGGGGTTCTATAACTTCTATTCCCATGTAGTGGTACTGGTGGCAGCTAGAAACTTCAGAGCAATAATTATTTAATTAACGCGGGATATCTTCCTTCTTTTATGTTTGATGCTTTCAGAAGGGTCTCGTGCAGGGCAAAGGGAATTTGATTTCAACTGATTTGGGTTTCCCCTAGCGCCCATGCATATATACATTAACCAAGGCCATTTTTGTAAATTAACTCAGAGCCGATGAAACTGTACCAAGTTTTAGGACTACCATAAATAGCAACCACAGTTCAAATCTGTAAGCAATCACACACACACACACACATATATATATGGATCATCAAAGTAGTGAGGATCAGAAGCTCCAAGCTATTGACAAATTCATCAACAATAAGTACCATGCCAAGCTGTTTATGATAAGGACATTGAAGTTTGTAGTCTCAGTGTCTTTGCTGTGCTTGTTTCTTTTTGTAACATCATCAGGTTTTTGTTTACTTCCCGATTCTTCCAATCAGGTCAATGCCTATTTCTCCACATTGCTTTTGTCAATCTTTACCCACACCCTTGACAGGAAGTACATGTTTCTTATTTGTAATGGAATCCTTGCTTTTCTTGCAAAAACTTCGATTAATTCTTGCGGTTGCAGTTATAATGATGAATCCGATGAGCTTATGTCCGACCTCGGTGGAAAGTCTTCAACATCATCATCAGTTAATTCTAACTTATCTGAGATTGGGTCGTCTCTCGGCCAGGATGACATCGCTTATGTGGCTGACGAAGGAGAAGAAGAACCAACGTCGACTTCAGAAGAAGAAGAAGTTGGACAACTACAAGATCTAGAAAAACAACAAAATGGTTCGTTATATACAGAGAACCATGAAGAAATGCAGCCTGAAGCTTTCATTGCAGCAGCAGAAGAAGTCGGTCTGTCTTTGATGGAGCAAGGAGGAGAAGAAATGGAAACACAAGAGCTAGCAACAAATGTTGACGTTGGAGATGATCAGTACGGCTCGAAGATGAGCAGTACAGATGAATTGAACAAGAAATTCGAAGAGTTTATAAGAAAAATGAAGGAGGAAATCAGGATTGAAGCCCAACGCCAGCCCATTATTGCCGCTTAATTAAGGGGATCTTAGTTTTTGTCCAAAAGCTGAAGCTGCATCTGTGCTGTAAGGCATGTTTTGTCTAGTTTGTAAACTGATTGCATCATCATCATCATCATCATCATCATCATCATGTTTAATAGTTTCCTTAATTATTGTATCTAGACTTGATAGTACTAGAACGTCCCTTTTATGTTCTTGTTTCCATCGTCTATTATATTATTTTCATGTTAATTAAATATGAGTCATATACCCTGGACTAAGTCTATCACCTCATATTGAACTATTTGAGTATATCTCTCGAATAAATAAATAAATTGTCTTTAATGTGTTTTTAGCCATTTACACAGATACAAATCCACTAATGAACTAATTAATTAATGTTACGAATTCCAAGTCTTTACATTTATCATTGGTGCATTTACACGCATTTAGACTAATTTTGGTCATTGAAATATTGCACGTTTGCACCTTATCATGCTGAATAAGAGAGAATAATATGAAGTGGGCTCATTCAGTTCTTTTGATGAATTGAATGGCCAAAATTAGTCTAAATGCGTGTAAATACACGGATGGTGAATGTAAAGACTTGAGATCCATTTATCATTAAATTTGACAAACTGGCAAATTATTAGGATATTAAATTATTAATGGATTGGATGTTAGGATATTAAATTAACGGATTGGATGGCCATGTTTTCATTCCATGGCAAATTGGTTTTTGCCTTTTTGTCATCTACAAGTTTTCGGAGTGTGAAAACCGACCATTCGATGCGCTTCAACTTTTGTGACTACAAATAATCAAATATACTTTCACTTTCGTTGTTGCTTTCTATATACACTGTTAAGATGACTAATATCACCGACACTTCGGACTCTCTCGATCTCTTCTCTTTCCCTGTAGGGTAGTGTACTGTACGTAGGGGCCCCTATCCAATGTTGATCGATGAAATTGGTTGGCGTCACCATGCCAATTCAATCAATTATGAAGGGAAAAACCTAGAACTAGATGGGGCAAATCATGAGTAGGAATGTCCGACCACAACAATCTCTCACAAGAAAAAGACTCCCTGCATTGGAGGTGGAATCAGCGTGGAGCTGGGCGGTAACCCGGTACAAGGGATCTCCGTTATTGTGAGACGATGACAAGATGCGAGCGGCAATTGCCCAAAAAAATGTGTCATGCCAGCAGTTCCAGTACTGTTTGCCGCAATCTATTAGTACAAGCAATTAGCTTGGTTGCACACTTGAGGCACCCACCATAATCAAATGTGCATTATAAACCTAAAGGCTTCGTAAGCTATCCAGAAAGAATGGGCAAGAGCACAAAAACTAGAAGAAACTCTGCTTTACTAACTAAATTTTACCAATGTATATACAGAGTACATCACCTTAGGTAAGTACCTCTCTCCACATCCTCTGTGTGTTGTGAATCTTATCATATCATACATCAGCAAGTTACAAAGTCTATTTTCAAGGTGCTTCTGAATTCTGATTATCCCTTCTCAACATGTTAACACTTTTCCGCTTGAAACAAGAGAAATCGGATGCAAAGTCATATTGTCCCATCGCCTTTCCTCGGGATCATAACTTCCTTACATCTGACTGTACTCTCAATTCCACAAAGCATGTTGCAGTTGCATTTGCTACCAATACAGTACACATGACCTACTGCAGCTTCAAATTAGGGGAAAATGTCAGATCCATAGCTACTCCTTCACATTCTGGCATATTTCTAACCTCATTAAGAATCCTTGTGAGCTGTGTTGTCAATTCCCTGCGAACATAATCAGAACGCTCCTTTGTAATTGATGATTCTGTTAACAGGGTATCAGTAAGGCATTGATAATCTTGAAACCATTCCTCATCACTAGTCCGAGCAATGTGGTCATCGTAATAATCAAGCGAGCCTTCTTTCCGCCATCTATTTAAACAGTATTTGTCAGGAAGCTGAAAGTAGTTCTTGACTACATACACACGTAGAGAATGTCTGCATAACAATCCTGAAGATTCAAACTCTTTAAAGGAACACTGGACCTGTTCCTCTTCTGGTATCCATATCACAAGACGCTCTCCCTCAATCTTCTTAAAATGCTGCACAAGATATGACCCATTGGCCATTTCAGATACAGCATATTGCATGGCGAGCACAAGTTCATGCTGGAAAGCATTGAAGGCAAAAGGCGTCAAAATACTCCTCGCGTGCTCTTCAATAGGAATGCTTGTTTTAATATGCATATACTGCATCTCTCGATGTGACTGATTTTGAAAATTGGCAGAAATACCAACCTACAAGGTGTTCAAGCATAAGAAACCATACCAATTAAAGAATTGCAGGCATAAATCAAGAATAAAAGTTATTAACCAATATACCTGCTCGAAAAAGCTACGCAAATATGTATGTGCACTGAAAATTCCTTTGAAAAATGCATCTACAAACTTTGAATATGTTGTCGTTGCCATACAAGCAACAAGTAACCCTTAATATGGGATTGAGCCCAGGATTCCCGGAATGAATAAAGTAAAGCAATATGTTTATCACTAGTAAGCCCAAACATTGAAATCGTTTGATTCCACTGAAGCTCAAAATCCTCTGTACTCTCCAGCCGATATAACTCATCAAACTCAGATTTAAATTCCATACAGCGTGGTCCAAGTGAAACAGAGAACCAGCTAGATATCTTGGGAAGAATATCCCAAATGGAAATGACATGCTTAGTGCCTGGTAATTCACTTCTTGTTGCATCTCTAAGCTCAGGATCGAGATCAGTTAGAACTGTTTGTGGGAATCTCCCTCTCATGAAATGAACAAAAGTCTGTATGAAAGAAGTAAAAAACATTGTAAGTGGACAGATACAAAGACACAACAATAATAACAACAACAAAGCCTTTTCCCACTAAGTGGGGTCGGCTATGTGAATCCTAGAACACCATTGCGCTCGGTTTTGTGTTATGTCCTCCGTTAGATCCAAGTACTTTAAGTCTTTTCTTAGGATCTCTTCCAAAGTTTTCCTAGGTCTTCCTCTACCCCTTTGGCCCTGAACCTCTGTCCCGTAGTCACACCTTCGAACTGGAGCGTCAGTAGGCCTTCTTTGCACATGTCCAACCCACTCATTCCTAATCTTATCCTTTCTCGTGAGCCCACACCCCCAACAAAGCATCATCATCTCCGCTACACCCATTTTTGTGTACGTGTTGATGCTTCACCGCCCAACATTCTGTGCCATACAGCATCGCCGACCTTATTGCCGTCCTATAAAATTTTCCCTTGAGCTTCAGTGGCATACGACGGTCACACAACACGCCGGATGTACTTTTCCACACAAATACAAAGACACAGCTAATCTAAAATCAGTAAAGTGGGTGTATTGGAAGCAAACCTGAAAAGCCCACGAGAAGGAATGCGGTGTTTCATCTTGCAAAAGAACACAACCAAAGAAAATGGTCCTTCCATGGTTGTCAATGCCAAGCCATGCTCCAAAAAGCACGCCATATGTGATTGACTGATATGAAGTGTCAAAATAAACTGCATCACCAAACATAGTGTATGCATGGACTGAATCACCATACGACCATGCAATGTGTTCAACCTTATCATTCTCGTCAACTGTAAAATCATAAACAAAATCTTCATCCGCTTCTTTTGTCCCTTTGCATGCCTCAAGAAGTTCCAATGTATCATTCTCCCGTTTTTCAGTGAGCAAAGCATCATTTTCTTGGACAACTTTCTTACGGTTTTGAACAAAATTTCTAACGAGTCCCTCTCTAAAAAGGGTAACTGTCCACCTTGAATCCCCTTTTCCAACTCCAACGCCTTCACTACGTGGTGTATGGGGAACCCAGCTTTAGAAAGTAATAGTATCCGCTCTTGATCAGCCTCATGAATTTTACAATAAGCAGGAAGCAGTCGCACTTGGTCATCTTAAAAAAATTCATGGTTATGGACATTACTGAATTGCACAACAAACCATTCAGAAACTCCATCAACGACCTCCTTGGACAAATACATTTTTACATCGCATCCACAGCGGACTGACTTCCTATCCCTGTGGTGCTACCCTGTAGGCTTCTTCTTCATGGGTGCAAACCCCGAACGATAACAAACAAAGTCACGCATATAAATATCCAATTGTGGGCTAAGTCAAGAGCGCTCTTTCCTAATTGAGAAACCGTTTTCCCTAGCGAAACTGCCATAATACTCAAACGCGTCATCGTCGCTCTTAAACACCATTCCAACATAGGGGGAAACCATAGCTTCCGATGCCATACTATCATTCTTAACCAATTGGGATGCTATGGATGATGCCTCTTCAGAGTCTCCCTCATATGTCACATAGCATTTCCAATCCCCACAGGGGCATTGCTGCCGCCTAATCCATATGTTTCTCGATGGGATAGAAGTCATTAATTAAACTTCAAAATCAACTCCCAGTTTCCCACTCCAAGACCCAACCTTCAGCTACTCTAAAAATCTTTTGAGTGACCCAGAAAGCTAGCTCGCAGTATAACCACAAACCCTTTAACAAAATAAAAAATTGAAAGCAATCAGAAATGGCCTCTTCTAATTGTTAGGATATACACTATAACAACATATGCAACCAAATGGCACAGAGACGGAAAAGGGGTTTAACATGACAGATTGGAGAAAGAAAATCAGACCCAGAAAACTAAAAAGATAACAATTTTGAGAAATATATCAAATGGAATAAAAGAGCAAGGACGGAAGGGGATGATGATGAATCACGTACCCAGTGAAAGAATGACTACGAGAGAGGGAATCTGTGCTAAAACCCTTGTTCCGTCTTCAGCTTCCTCCGCACAGCTGAGTGTCCCTGTTCCGTTCTCCTTTTTTTTCCAGTTGCGATGACACAGAATTTCACAAGTAATGAGAGCAAATTAAATGGGTCGGGCCTGTTTTCCAGTCTGAATTGGATCCGATGTCTTACCCAGCCCTTCTATTGTCTAATGACTGTTTCCGTAAGAGCAAACCAGCGTTTTCGGCTTAGTTTTTTTTTATATATTTTTAACAAATGATATTTTTTATAATTTATAGTAAGAGAGAGAGGATAGGATGACGAGAATCAAACTTAAGACTTCTAACTCTACTAGACCGTGCTACTAAGTGGTTCGGCCTCATTTGTTTGTGAAAAGGGGATTGGCTTGAATAAAATTATTAACTCTATTAAAAGATATTTTGAACAAATAAATGAGTAATAATTCATATTTTGTCTAAATCGAAGGTTATTTTTATTGAAAAAATGAATATTATTCGGTAATTACTTTCATTGAAGAACAAAAAAGAGTAAGTGAAGATAAAAACTAAAAAAGACAAAGGTATCAAACAATACCTTTGTACCTTTGTAAGACGAAATAAAGCGCTTGAAATAGAATAGTTGGAACAAACTTCAGACGTATACTTTTGGCGTGATGAGAAGTGGACAAGTAAGAGTCAATCATGCGACGCGTCCAAGTGGATTTGAAATGCCACTAAGTCGCTTAGCGGTCTAAATCCACCCAGGTGGAAGCACCAGAGTGATTCTTGGTTGCTTCTTTGCCACTGTGTAACTACGAAACAGAAAATATTAGTAAAGTTTCTTGCATTTTTTCTTTGCTTGGTGATTGGTAATGATATGTTCAGCATGCATTTATTTTCTCAGTTTCTTCTTTCTGACGGGTATCCAATCATTCCGCGTTTCTTTGATTGAGGCAAATATTGGATTAAGATCTTGAGGCTTCTGAGATACTTTTAATCGTCTTTTTCTTTCTGCTCAGTGTCATTTAGGTAAGGTAGCAAGAAATTGAATTTTATTTTTATGTCTTTAGAAACAGAATGTCATTCGATTTTTACAACCAGGAGAGTTTAATTGAATTTTGAAATGGACATTTTGTTTGATCATTTTCCTTATGTGTTTCAATTCATATTAAAGAATTTGGTTTGGGAAATATTATGTCGTTTTGATTCTGTATACTGCAGGTCGTTGCTAAACCAGATGAACTTTTATGTAATGCTTTAAATCTGATGGCTAGTGATTTTAGCGATGATGTTAAACAAACCTTACTTTCTGAAAAGAAAGATAATTCTCAACACAATAATGAAACGAATGCCGTCCAGAGAAGAAGAAATCGCCCATACAGCATTAGCACTAGTCCATGTCCATCATTCAAGAACCGCCTACAACAAAACGAAGTGGTATCTCAATATCCTGCAGATTGTGATCCAGTCTATGTAAAACCACAATTCAGTCTAAGGCAAGTAGTCTTGTTGTTGATTGCATACATTGGTGGAGGCACATTTTGCTTTTTCCTGATGAGGCATCAGATAAAGGGTAAGAAAACGAATGCAATTCTGGACTCCATGTACTTGTGTGTAGTCACAATGAGCACTGTGGGCTACGGGGACCTTGTGCCAAATAGCATGTTGGCAAAGCTAGTTGCTTGCGTTTATGTGTTCACCGGCATGGCCCTTGTTGGCATAATTCTTGGCAAGGCAGCAGATTACCTTGTAGAGAAACAGGAAATCCTTTTGGTTAGAGCCATACATTTTCGAGAAAAAGTTGGGCCACCGGAGCTTCTTAAGGAGGTTGAGACCGAAAAGGTTAAATTCAAATGTATTTCTGTCGGAATCCTTCTTTTGATTCTTATTATAGTAGGAACTGTCTTCTTATGTCTAGTTGAGAATCTGGAAGTTATGGATGCTTTCTATTGCGTTTGTTCCACTATTACTACACTAGGCTATGGGGACGAGAGCTTCTCAACGGGAGCTGGTCGTATTTTCGCTGTTTTTTGGATACTGAGCAGCACCATTTGTTTAGCACAGTTCTTTCTCTACCTTGCTGAACTATGCACTGAAAGAAGGCAAAGATCACTTGTGAAGTGGGCTCTTACGCGGAGATTAACACCCTCGGATCTTGAGGAAGCAGATCTTGATCATGATAAAGTCGTTAGGTATGAAATAATTTACAATCCTCATGCATGTTTTATCTTATTATTTGTAAACAATTAAGATATATCAATTCTCATGTGGCTAGCTTGTTGGATTCATCTATGACCAGTGCGGCAGAGTTTATCGTATATAAGCTAAAGGAGATGGGGAAGATCAGCCAGGAAGATATTGAACTGCTGATGGAAACGTTCAAGAAACTTGACATTGATCATTCAGGAACTTTGACGACATCTGATTTAATATCAATGTCATCTCAACCAACAACTTAAAAGTGTAAGTTGATATGCCTAGCACTGACATGAACTATGACAACTCTAAAATTCACATGGCGTATAGAGCCTTACTTTCTTTCTTTAATTATTTCTTTAATTCACATGAACTATGACAACTCTAAAAAGCTAGGGTTTCATAATAACGCATCCGAGCTACGTACAACATTAAACATTATGAGGGAAAAGTAAATATCAACGGAAAATAGAAGCTTTTCTCATACTACGTACTAAAATCAAAGTCAAGGGAAGAGTTGAACACACATCCTCCTTCCTACCCCTCCACCCTATCCTCTGAATCAATAAATAAAGATTGTGTAACTTAACTTCGTAGGACCGGAAACTTTGACTCGGTTTAACAGAAAAATCTAATGAAATAAGAAGATATACAAACAAACAAAGTCCTCTCCATTCAAGTTTGTTTGCTCACACAACTAACCATAAGTTGAAGCCTAGTATTAGATAAATTCCGCAACATGCACGTTACCATGTCTATATAATTTAAGCATTGAATTCACTAGTACATGCATACAAATTCAATAGTTGAAGGCACTTTCTTCTTCAGATGTTGCATCACATGATTTCTTGCTATTACTTCCTCTTTGACGTCTATCACTCCCCTATCCCTTTTACTAGGATGTGTTCGACTCGCATATAAAGCTTTTTCCTCTCCTTGCTGCTTTGCCTCTCGTTCCATTTTGGAGACCTAATAGATCAATAGGCCACCCCAAAAGAAAATCAATTACAGGGTAATAGTGTTCTCTCCATAATTTCATGATTCCATTAAGTAATTAAATTTACTTTATAGAAAGCACTATCAACAAATATAATAATGACAACATAATCAAGTTTACTCTTACATAGCTGTGAATATTTTCCCTTCTGTGTAATGATGCATTGATGGGGCATTTTAATTGAATAAGCTGTTCTTAATTTGACTATATTGATAAGTTTCTTAATTTTTCTTTTTCCATCTTTTGGCTGCTCAACTCATACAATTTGTCCAGTTCGCCCCTTTCGATTTAGCTAGGATTTTTGTAACTTGACAACGCTGTGGTTTTGGAGGAGATAGTTGCCTTTATTGATATTCTTCATTTCTTTGTTATCTCTAGAATTCCAGGAGGGAGCTCGTAAAATGAGGAAGCCCATTGCCACGCAAATTTATTTAGAAACTTGAACTACTATTGAACACAATTGCACGTACTGTAATCTGTAGACTTGAATTTTTCGCTTGGATTGTAAATTTCTTTTGGATGACTTGATTTGATTACGAGAAAAGAGCAGGAGGAGAAGATTTAGAAGAATTTTAGAATTGTTTATTCTTGAGATTGGTTGATTGTTTAATTAGCTTTATTGATCTTTCGAACTTAAAAGGAAACACGAATAAAAAATGATCTCTCGACTTCTTCTTAAACCATTTGTCTCGATTTTTTTTGTTAAAGTTTTAGAGAGACTAGCTGCGGTTCACTATTAATAACTTGATACTGTCTCTATTTAATCACCCGTGTAATCAATAGATGTGGGGTTTTCATGCAAGGCGGAGTGAGAATACCAGAATAATGAGTAAGTCACAAGTTTCATGCATTCACTAGTTATGTTGCTGCATGCTACATATGATGAATATAAATAATGAGTAGGTCACAAATTTCAGCAGCCTCATTTTTCAATCGCGTATGCAACAAATAAGTATTAAGTTATTAACCCAACTGCCTTGGACTATTACTCCTGAATATACATTTTAATTGCATTGAAATTAGATTAATTATCAGAAATATAAATATTATAAACAGCTTGAAACTAATTTGTGTAGTCTGGCTGCCCAGCAACATAATCTATGATTCCTTGACCTTGTGCTTCACCGTGTGATTCTGTCGACAGCTGTGAAACACCACCAAAGGCGATTACTGCCACCAAAAATATTGTTGTGGAGGCAAAGAGAGGCCAAAAGTAACCCAAAATGGTTAGAATCCTAGGGGCTGCATACAACATTAAAGAAAATATTAGCGAAACAAAGATTGCTATGACAAAATGATATCGGTATTGCAGAAGTTGTGGCGAGATATCCATTGCGGCCGGCCTTGGCTTGCTTTCTCAATAACAATCACAACTTTCAACTCTAGAGAGAGAGAGAGAGAGAGAGAGAGAGAGAGAGAGAGAGAGAGAGATTAGGGTTATAACTCAGGTTCTTGTCGAAGAATAAGAAGCATGTGGTTATATCTCTCAAACTTTGCTTCGTCCTTGAGTCTTTCCCAGAATATTATCCTCAACTGAGTTCATAATTCTCATTGTTTCTTTTATTCCAGGATTTGCCCCCCTCCACTCGATTAATCGACATCATCTACCTATATGAAAATGGGATGTGAAAATCTGGTGGAAGGGCACATTAGTCATTAGGCACAACAATTATTTTGACATGGATGCTTTGTCCATTTATTTGATTTGTAGGTTACTTTTCGCATGGAATGATGATTAGTAACAAGGAAAGGAATGGCATCTTTGTTTTTCTCCTTTGTGGTTATGCCTTTCATGAAAGATTATTGTTATATATGGGCTGGCTAAGTTGATTCTCTTTTTATTATAAGAAAAAAATTAATGAAACATATATTATAACTTGAAGGCCTAAGGGGTTTCTGCAATTATACGTCATACGATTAATTAGTATTTCAAAATTTATGTTAGATGATTAAACATAACACAACCTTAATTTGTAATCACAAGCTATTCTCGAGTGAACTGGCGATAAACTAAATATTTACAAACTCAACCTTTGCAAAAGGTTGTACAGTTTTTTAATTGTTATATTTGCTGCCTGTGCCTGATTCATTTCTAAGTATTTGCTGACTGGTTGGAAATGGCCATACGTGACTCACATGTAGTCGTATATGTTTGTTTCATCGCCACATTTGAATTTGAACCTCCTAAACCTAAATCCTTCTTCAAGTTTCCATTTCCTGTTTAATCACTTTCACTTCCTCACCGACAGCGACAAACTCATTCCCTATCCCTCTATGGAGGAAGACTCTCCTCCCACCCTTTCCGCTCAACTCCTTGATGCCTCTGCTCAGGAATATTTGCTCAGGAAACTTCAAGTAATTTGACAAATGATGAAGCATGCCCGAAAGAGTGCGGGGAGAACATTAAGTGGAATCTGGTGGACTGGTGGTGGACTGGTGCCTTATGATCGAGATGTAACGATGGACATGATATGGTACTAATATTTCACTCGGATGTTACTTTATACTATAATTATGTTATTAAGCTGCCTGTCCAAAAACTTCATATCTCATGCATCAATCACAAAGTTTTAGCAGAGAGGCAACATGAGGCCTCTAGTCTAGTATTGGTCCTACACTATAACTTAAGTTCTTAACTTGTATTGCACGTGCACACACACTAATTATGTAATATGCGTTGTCCTAAGTTTTTGTTTTTGAAAAATTATTACCAGAGCAATTCGCTATTTGAAAGTTTCAAAACGTTCACAATATAAGTCATTTTCGCCAATGTCTTGTTTTTAAACATCCATTTTCATCAATTAAAAAGTTAATAAAAAATAGTGGGAGCCCGACACCCGCACACGACTTGTTCATACTTTCGGCCTTTGTTTGTTTATGACTTATGATCTCACCCAAAATTTGGATCTGTAATAGCACTTTAGCCTGACCCAAATCCATTTTATGCTAATGCATAAACCCACGCAAGTTGAAACCACAATGACCTACAAACACGTATTTGAAGTAAGACATTAGCCGAGGTAATCCATATTTTATTTTACAAAGTGATATTTTGATTTACGAAAATTGAGACTCAAACTTAATTGTAAAATATAAGACACATTACTTTAATCAACTGACTTAACTCACAGCAATAAGGCTAATCAACCTTTAGACTCTCTACATATACCATGACAAATTGTATAAAATTGATTAATTTCAATCCTCTAGTATATTGTGAACCTATCTACCTACTCCAAGTCTGCAAACCAATAAAGGAAAGGAACACACAACAACATAGTGAGTTAGAATTCAATTGAAAAATGATTCGCATAAAACAAAACTCCACACAAAATCATATGCTAATCAACAACCCTTTTGACTGTTTTGGTTGTATTAAGGATTTACTCATTTTGCATTGGTGCTTCTCCATTTTTTAAAAGGGTATTTTTAGGTGAAGTCTTCCCTTTGTTGCCTGATCAAAAAAATTATGGAAATGTCCAAGGTTGCCACATGGGCAGACGAGCCTAATTTATTTAAGTAAGCGATTCGAATACGAACTTAAGAGCAGAGGCATTGTCCTAACTAACTAATATAATCCACTTTTACCAACTTAATCATAATTTTTTAAGCAAAGATGCGAGGGAGACTTTCTGTAGGAAAAGGAATTTGTTTGTTCTTTCAAGCCACTTTAGTTGGTCCCTTTCAGCTCATGCTATCATCATGGTCATCACAACTACCTCATTTTCTTGGCCTATATTCAAGGCGTTTATCATTTATTTGCAAGGAAGGATTATATGTGTAAAATTGTTGGCAAGGTTTAAGCAAGTTTTAGCGCTTAATCAATTAAATTAGGCCAAAACAAGAGCTTTCCATCTTGTAGCTAGACCATGACAATCCCTAATTATTTTCCTTACTTGTTATCATTTGCAAACGACTTCAGAGGACCTTTGTAAAATGAGGTTTTAACATGTTTTCTTTTCGTTGCATAGTTTAGGGTACCTATTTTCTATCACCGCTTAATCTAATTAATCTAATGGATGGGTCATACACTTTAATCGATTTATTGATCAATCGGTCAATGTCTTGTTATTGGCTGTTGATCTTTCAACATAATAAAAGATAAAAAACCGCTTCAACAGATGAAGGTTGCACCAAATGGCACCAACAGATGCACTAATCACTCTTTGATTAACAATATGGTGTATGCCAATCCTTGAACGGTCCAAACGTAATTATAATCATAGATTAGGTGGTGGAAAATATAAATGCAACACTTGGATTAAAACATAATTATACATATGAGGAATTCACAGCTGCAAAGAGTAACCATCAATCACAAATCACAACGGTTGGAAATCAAAATTAAGAGATAAATCTCAAAATTAATATTATGTTTTTTTAAAAAGTAACCGTTACTGTCAAAATTAGGAGGGAAGAATAACAGCCGGTTTGGCCGGCCTAAGATTTGTGATTGTAACTTGAATATCCAAAATTTGGTTCCCAGCAAGGGAGGTCCATATCTCATCATCCCACTCTTTACGCTCAATTCCTTAGAACTCACACACCATCTACTCATTAAAAACCACATTCAATCCCCCACATTGTATAATATCCATCCCTAATTAAGCTAAGCTTTGGAGATTACAGCTCTTTCTTTCTTTCTTTCTTTGTCTATCTATTGCTAAACTGCCTAGCAAAACATAAGCCAATCGGATATCGGAATGGCGGGTTATGATGAAGAACAACTTGGAGTTGGAGGAGTTGGAGGAGTTGGAGGAGATGAGCTGTCCCTTGTCCATCCAGACCCTGTTGTGTTAGAGCTCAATCGGATGCACAACCTACTCAAAGGTCCCTCTCTCCTCCTCCCGTTTTCGCACTTTTTCCGGACTATTTTTGCTTCTTCTGTAAACTGAACTGGTTTTTCATATATGATATTGAATGCAATTTACTGAGTTGAGTTTCAACAGGAGGAGCATAGGGTTTTATAAGAAAGCCATATTTACCTAGTAATAAAGATATGATGACTTCTAAATTCCGGGTGCTGAAAATGACTTGAGCTTATTGTTTTCTATTTGTTCTTTATCTTTATGTACATATATAGTCCCGTAAACTTCTCTTTATATTCCTTGAATGAACATTGTTTTCAAAAGTTGATCCACTGGTCTAGTTATATATGTGATACCTTACAAGGACTATGAATACAAAGAACAATTGTTAGCCTCAAAGACACTAGTATCAAAAGATTTGATGGTTCAGTAGTTAAGTGTTCTACGGTTACCAATTCAGTCTCTTGGTATATGATATGCTTTTTCCTTCTACTAAAAGTTGACAAAAAAGTCTTCAAATACAAATTTAATACGAGTTTGTTAAATTGAACTTGCAGAAAAGAGTCGGGAGTTGGGGATTGCTCAGGGTGAGATCAAGGCTCTCAGAGCTACCGAAGTTCAAAAGGATAAGGCTGTAGAAGAGGTACTGAAAGTGAAAGAAATATGTACAGACATGTCAAGTCACTGAAAACGCACAAACACATTGAACTTACTCATTAGAAAACGACTGAATCCTTTTTTCTTTTTCGTTATTACATTTTCCAGCTCAG